TTATGGCCATGCTGCAGAGGCTTCAGCTCTGTTATGTGTCTGCAGAGACAGCATGCGCACTGGATCCCTCCGTCGCTCTCTCGCCAGACAAGACAGATATCTTTCCTAAGGGACTCCATAAATCTGGACTTTATTTTTAAGATTCTCTTAAAGCGTAAAGCAGGAGACAGGGCCTGCTAATGTGTATTTCTCTCCCTCCTGCTCACCGTCCCCTCTCTTCTGAAAGATTTTCTGACCGTGAAGGTGATGCCGCCATTAAGCATAGAACTGTCAGGATGCCTATGTGCGCTCGAGGGGTCATTTTAAGTGCGAACCCGAACTGCCTGGAAGTGTTTATCCAATAATGACCCACTGACTGGCTGCACATGTGAGCTTGTCCAGGCTGAAATAGCATCCACTCAGAATGTGTAGCTGACTGAACATCTGGGGGAATGATTAGTGGAGAGGTGTGGCACTGTTGTTATGATATTAAACATAACCTGTCCCGTGCTGTTAACATAACCTGTGCTGTTTAATTTGTGCCTTTCCTGTAGTGTTTTACATGTTAGCTTACCAGTATCCTGATACTGACATTATTTTTAATAATATCTTATCAACAAATTGACATTTCAACTGATGTGACTGCTTGCTTACAATCTGGCACACACAAACTATCTTCTACTCTTCAGCTTCAAATGAAATTTTCTTTTGTCAATTACAGTTCAGTTGAAATTTCAACAAATGACATTTCAACTGTTTTCATGTCTTACACTTGACAGTTGTCATTGACCATTGTCAGTGCCCTTGTCAACTAACAGTTCAATTGCTCTCATGGCTTAGATATTGACTTACAGTTTAGCTGCTTTTATCTCTTACTCTTTAAATGGCAGCTGAACTACTCTTCAACTGTCTTCAGCTGCTTTCAGTGCTTACACTCAGTGCCATCAAATCAAGTCGTCTTAACTTCATCACAGAGTAAGTGCGATGTGCGACAGTAATAAATGTCCGTGTGAAACAGTGCACTGTATAGTTAAATGGATTAAACGAAGCATTGATGCAAATAATTTGTGTCGATGCTTTTTAATAATTTAATTATTCGAATTTCTCAATAAAGCGCTTCAGCCAGTCAAATATAGAACAACATACATTTGCACTATATGCAGCCGATGTGATGTCTTTACCAAACTTAATGGAAACAATCTCCGAAATCTTCAACTTCAGCTGATACTTCAAGTGCTTAAGTGTACTGAAACTGCAAATCCTACACTTATCACATGCAAACATGTAAATGTAGCCTTTTATAGTTTGATGGCTGGCTTGTCTCAGAAGGCCTTGAATCTGAGAGAACTGTATTTTGTCACATGGTCTAAATGGTATTTCACATCTGACAAGAACAAAAGCTTGGGGGTAATACTGAATGCTTGTGTGTTTTGGCATGAAAATGTCACCACTACAGCCTTTGAACATCAGCAGAAATTACTGTCAGTTGACAGCTTTAATCCAAAAAAAACATTGGTACTGTAATCGTCTTCAAATCCCATATGGGTCTCAGTATATTGTCCTGGAATGCTGTCCTAAATGGCAATAGGTTTCCTGGGACATATATTAAACGTTGTTCGTTTTTGTCAAGTTTTGCACTACAGCAGCAGAGGTGGTTTTAATTTTCATTCTCGTTAACCTTTGATTCAGTTTCTGGTATTTGTGCTGTCATTCCTATCACCATTTAGGCAGATTTATGGTCAATGTGGAAGCATTTACAGAAGCAAACTTAAATCCGTTCTCACAAAGTTCCTAAACAAAGTAGATATCCCCTTACGGGTAGGTTTGTTTAATGTCTAATAAGATTTATTGGATTGGAAGCATAATAAATAGTTGAAAATTGGATTTGGAAAACAAATTAGATTTAAATTTACATTAAAATTAAAAAACTGGCTTTCCCCAGTTAGTATAACTTCCTGTTGGACTTTGTGGCTGTGATGTGTAGCAAAAGTAATCCCTCTTAATGTAGCACTACACATTTACATACACATTCCACATATCTGTTACAGCACACTTATCAGTTATCACCCAATAGCACAGGACTGAATGCCAAATAAATACAATTTCTTTTAAGTCCATCTGTTCGTGGTTTGCTTCTGTACATGGTTCTTCATTTATATGCATACTTCTTTTCAGGGGTCGTTATTACTCTAAATACTGCAGTCCGTCACAAAGATTAGAGAACAAGAGCACAGTCGCATCATTGCAGCAACATGTAAGGTCTTGCACATCCTTGGCAGTAAAGACTCATCATTGCTAATAACAGGGTAGAAACCGTCTGGTGGTTTTGTAGGTTTGATGTCATCCCAATAGCAGATGAGTCAGCAAACATTACATACAGCCAGATGGTGGTAGGTGCAGAATTGATGACAACAGCTTGGGTAGTGAGACCTGTTTTGATTTGCATTTGATTAGTCATGAGTGATCGCATTTTATGCCATTAAAGGTGCTTCACAGAGCATTTTTGCTGTTATTAAATAGTTACACATTAATTTAGAAATATTGCTTGTGTAGTTAGAGTAGATGTCAGAAGTTCAAAGATGGGCTGATATCAACTGTACTTTCTTTTGGGGAAAAAACAAACAAAATGTTATCTGCTTGAAGGCAGATTAAAAAGCTTATTTGATTAAGTATGTGGCAGGTAATAACTGGAATTACTGTTTGTTGGAGGCCAACTAAAGTAACAAAGAAGTGTTTAACTTGTCCAACATCAGAACACTATGAACTAAACAGTGCTCAAACTATGTTATACTTTCATGTACACGTCATAGGTCGGTTCTGGCTTGGGACTTTTATTGCATGTCGTTGCCAAACTGTGTCATTAAAAACTGCCAACAAATAAACATTTTTGTCATGCGTTACTGCAGTCTTGGTTTTTCTTCCACAACTACAAATGTCGCATTTTCAGAAGAAAAGTGCACTTGGTTCTGCTGGAAATTGCAGGTGCAAACACTGTAAACAGTTTTTAATATGTCTGACGACGGCTAACGATGCACATTTTGCATATTGCACTCTTTTGTTCTCCGTAATAGTGCCGGGAAAAAAAGATAGCCGAAAGAGAAGTTCAAATTCTGGCTCCCATCTTACCTCCACACAGCTGGCTAATCAAGGCTTGAAGTGGGTGTAAATGGCAATTTTTGGAAAGTTACAGGTCGGACAGGAGGCGGTTTCTGAGGCAACACCACAATCTGACAATCCGATGATTCTGTCGGAGTGGTCACTTAAGCTTTGAAAAGAGTTGGTGTTAAAGCTGAAAGCAACTGAAATCGGTGTAGTCAGTGAAAGCATGTGAAGTTATTATTAAAAAATTAAGCACTATTAGCAGTTGAGTTGTGTCTGTTTGTATGTGAGCACTGAAAGTAGCACCCAGAACAGTTGGAGATGCACAAAGTTATGGATACTGTAAATAGTCAGTTATGTACTGTAAGCAGTGACTGCAAATAAATTGGTAATAAATCTTAATTTTAATTAAAATTCCAATATCAGGCTGATATATTGGAATCTTAAGTTTTGAACCAGAAAAGAGTGGTGAAAATAACATTGTGAAAGGGTTGCGTGCAGGTAGCACTCTTCCCATCCACTCACCCCCAGCGTGTATTGGCAGGTTTATGGTGTGTGTGTGTGTGTGTGTGTGTCTGTCTGTCTGTGTCTGTGTGCGAAGTCCACACGCTGAGCCAGATGAGCTCATCTCAGAGAAGGATCCAAACATACCACCTCTAAAGTGTACAAACCCCAGTCATACAGTCAGGCTCCGTCTTCACACACCGATGTAGCATTTAATGGTGGGCTGGACAGTTATTTTGTGATGAGCCTGGTCTGTGTGGTGTTTTTTAAATTTTTTATTAAAACAGTCCGACACCCTGACTTAGATTTACAAGATGTTTAGTAGAAGTACACGGAGTACTGTGTATTTTGAAAAACACAGCAAGGGAATAGAATTCTCGGATTGCTTTTCTTGAAAAACTGGCATTTGTGACTGATTTCATCCACTAGATCTGTTTTATATTGAAGCCTGTGTTTGCCGCTGACAGCTTTTGCTGCCGAAAGATAAGATACCGCTTTCCCATCAGCATCTGTAAAGCAGCGTTGGGTTCTGCGCCACCCTCGCTGCAGTACAATGCTCTCAGTACAATGATAAGCATGTCATTGTCACATTGATGCATAGCTGAGATGTGTATATGTGTGCTGCTGTTGTAGTTTTTGGCATTCACTTACAGCATAATCATACTAGGAAATAGGTTTATATGCGCCATGACTCGCAGGGAATATCGCTTTATGCATGCTTTGGGACTTACAAACACTTTTGAGGAGTGTGTTAAAAGCAGAATTGTGAGGCTGTCAATAAATCAACCTCTTTCTCTTCCCCATGCGCCTCTTTTCAGTTGTTTCTGTGTTAAGCATAATGATACCATTACTCACAAGTGGACATAGCAGAACTCACGTTCTCTGTCTCTCTCATTACCGTTTATGCTCCCTCTGTTTTTCTCTTCCTGACTTTGTTTCACTATTGCTTTTTTTTTTTTACCTTGTCTTTGTCCCTCCCACCTCCCCTGTTCCTTTCTTTCTCTGCATGCCTTCCTTTTATTTTGTCCCCACTGAGATGGCTGGAATTTCTCATCTGGCTGAGAGGGTCATTTTAACTTTCTCTCCTCTTCCCCAGCTCACTTTATTTCCACTCCCATCCACCCTGCCTGTGTGCTTTCTCTCCCTTCCTTCTCTGACGCTATGCACCGGTTTCTTTGGCACCCCGCTCATGTGTGTGAGCCAAAGGGAGGCAGCACTCTCCTGGGACACTTCTAACTATCTCTGTCTCTCACTCTCTCTCACTCTCACTCACTCACTCACTCACTCACACACACACACACACACACACACACACACACACACACACACACACACACACACACACACTCTCTCTCTGTGCCTGTGAGGCGTTCAGTAGCATGCAGGACACTCTGCTCCAATCTGTAGTAGGGATGGGGCCTGATTTTCTTTTCTTGGTTAATGAGCTTAGCCCGTGCTGAGTAGCTTTTAGCCCTGCAGATTGTTGTAGTGGGCACTGGTTAGTCCATAGCGGTTAGCAAGGGGAACCAGAGTGGAGGAGTGAATCTCAGAAGGGGCAGAGCTGCAGCCACAGCCTCACCACTCCTCTGACTGCCTACCAGGACCACCTCTACTCGTATCGGCACTGCGGCTGGGACGTTTCTCTCTACTCTCTCCCCTCCCTCCCTCTCCTCTGCATCTCTCTAACGCTACCTGACTCCCCTCTCTCTTCTTCTCTGTCTGTCCCGGAGCACTGACGAACTGCTTTTTGTTGCTGCATCACCTCCTCAGCTGCTGTCCCTCTTTCTGCCCCTTGTTTCCATCTCCTTTTGCTCTTTTCTGCCTTACCCCTTACTTTGTTGCAAAAATGTACCGGAACCCGTGGATCTCGAATTACCTGACTCATGTCAAGTTTTGCAGCCAAGGTAAGAGCAGCGACTTGGGGCTCTGCAGCTCAGGGCAGAGCTGAGATTTGAAGCTCACGGCTCAGAGCTTGGGGACAGGTTACTCTGGTAGTGGAGCTGGGAATCTGAGCTCTTAGAAGTTGGCAGGCAACTTACCGCAGACTCCCTTCCTCTCTGCTTTCTAGCCAGCTGTCCTTGCACTGCAGCTGTAGCCTCCAAGGACACTACGTAGCAGAGATAAGGGACTCTTAACAGTGCAGAGGGCTCTTTTAGGGAAGAAGCTATTTCTAGGCTCCACAGCCTCTTGGACTTAGACAGAACAGAAGTATAATAGCATACATGGATGCATTCTGAAGCTTTACCTCTGGGGCTGGATAGCAAACCAAATTCATTAGATTACCGATATTGTTAATTTCTTATCATAATTGTGAAATAAATAAATTGCTTGAATTTCCAATAACTAAACCTCCAGTGATCTAACCAGAAGTTTTTGGTGAACCATGACATTCTAATTTGCACTGTTGACCAATAGCAATCCTCCTTGACGGTGCTGACCTTGAGGGGACAGAAAGCTGAAATCCAAATTGAAGAAAGTTAATGTAACTTATTAGCTGTGTCACCATCCCCTTTATTTAACCTCCTCTGACAGATCATACATTGCTCCACAAAAGAATGTTTTTTGACAGAATAGAGAGAATTTATAGTACAAATGCGTTATGTGTTATTCTTCCGTTCATTCATAATGAGCTGACTGACAGTTAGCAAACTAGCTAGTTAGCAAACAGATTATTTTCGCTGTGCCACTTTCTGTTGTGATCTAGAAGGTGACAGAGGTGTGGATATTCACTCCTCTCCCATCCCGCTCCCACAAAAATAATCTTGTCCTGTCCCAATCCCATGACAAAATTAAAAAAGGAAAAAAAAAATACCTGTACCATCATAATCCTGGAAGAAGGACTCGTGTCCTGTCCCATCCTGCTCCAGAATCAAAAAAATAAAATCTGAAAATAGCATTTTAAAATTAGCATATTAGAAATGCATATTTGTAAATAAAAAAACTGACTATGATTTCCATCCCGCCTGCTCCTCAGCCTCTATTGTGATGTCATAGACTCAAGTTTTATATGGGTAAAAAAAACTTGATGGATGATTATACACTGCTGACTGGCTATAGATCCATGTCTGCCTCTCAGAGTGCTGCTCATTCACACTCTTCTGTATTATTTTCTCGATGAGAACTGAGTGTTAAGATCTGGCTTCTCCATGCTAAAAGGGCTGGGAATCCACAACAGGTGGCCCATAGTTTCAGGCTGCTATGCAAGCAGCAAGACTGTTTTTTCAGGAAAGGTTGTTGGAGGGTTTAGATGTGTCAGTGTAGCTGTCCTTGTTCTCCGTTTCCTCTCCAGAATTGAATTTGAGACTGAGCTGCTTGTATACTCATTGTTATTAGTGTTAAGGCCGTAATTGGCTTATTGTCAAAGTCCACTGTTTGTAGCCATGGCCTCACATTCTGGTTCTCCATCTGTTTTTTAATTCTTTACTACTTAAGCCTCCCTCAGTGAGGCTGACGTTACAGCTTGAGTCTCCCAGCAAGCAAGCTGAAGGCAGAGTAGGTGGGCGACTGTTAGAGGGGATGTTAAGATTTAAACATGCGGGTACACACGCACATGTAAGTATGATGAAATGCAGACAGTTAAAGAGTGACTGGTTTCCTTTTGGGCTCACTGTAATCCCAGGAATCAAAGTTAATCCTGTATCTTAATTTGGACATATGCTGAGCCCCTGATGCCTCTTTGGTTACCACACTGGGTGTTTTTGTGTGGAGCAAGTAATGTTGTTTGATTGACATACTCTTCAGTCCTCTTGTGAATGGTCCCCCATTTATTTGTATGTTACCCTCAGTTCAAGGTCAGACTTGTCAGAGCAAACCATTCCCAAACTTAGTGTCTTTGACAGTGTTATACAGTCTTTGTGCTTCACACCTTTGAAAGCTTCACATAAAAGGTTTTCTTCACTGCAGAGCCTGAATGACACTCCACTGAATCATGTAATCATTTTATCCTCATGTTTTATCAGTGTGAAGCCGCTTTTACAGCCTCATCAACACACACAGGACACGGTGCTGAGGAATTCCTGGCACATTCCCTCCCAGCTATAGCAGCCATAGTGTTTCTGTAGATTACAGCCAGCATCAAAGGCTATGCCACATCTGTGATCATTGTGGAGGTTTTTATGCCTGTGTCTAGAATGACGAATATATTGAGGCACTTGGGTTTTCCAAGAGGGTCGCCTGATGGCTGTCATGCCACTACATATGAGGTGTAAAAGGAATACAGTTCTGGGTTGTGGAGAACTCTTAGACCTGACAATAGCCTCAGACAGTTGCCCCCTAGCAGCTAACTAACCTTTATTGTTACATCTGGTTTTGTTTCACACTCTTACTGAAAGGAAAATTCTGGGATTTGTCAATGTGGGTGTTACTCTTGTATTTTTGACCTTTATGACTGTTGGTCATAATGACATTCTGCTTGCCACCTGCATTGTAGAGATCTGGGAAACAGGAAAAACATGTTGGTTGGTGCAAAGAGTGTGAGCCTCCTACAGCTTTCCAAAGATCTTCCATATAGAGATCCTTTCAAACACTTGTTTTTCGATTCAGACCCTAACCATCTAATTGCATTTGCTGCTACTACTTCACTAGCATGCACATTTATTAAATCAGTAGTATGCCATAGCCTCACCATAACATAAACAAAACCAGCTGACCACCACTTCCTCTATTATAATTCAGTCAAAGCACATATAGGCATCATACACACACTGCCAAAATCAGCACAAATTGCTCTTTACCAGTGACTGTATCTAAGTAAGTCAAAGATAGATGTCCAATAATCTGCTTATAAATCATAGATGTTCCTTTATAACTTCAGATCCTGCTTAGTAATTTTCATGTTTCAATGTTTTTTTCAGTATCAAAAGTAACCCATTTGATTGCTTTCTCTACATTCATGGTTACAGTGCAAAACAAAACTGTTAGGAGTTAATGCAGCGTGCGGTGCTGATTGGATAAAATGAAAACAAATACAGGCAAAGAACGGGGCTCTGGCCCAGAACCTTTTTTTTAACATTGCAAAAAATATCATAAAACCTATGTTAGAACATGTACAGAACAACATTTCTAAATAGCCCAACTGAAAATAACAGTACGTGGCCAAGCCATGTAGTGACTATACTGAAAGCTTGTAAGTAAAGAGAGTGAAAACAGAGCAAAAATCAAAGGGTTCAAGGGGTTAATGTAAAATTGACATGGTGTAGGTGTTACTGTGGAAATTCAGAGATTTGACTTTTCATCCACTGTGAACAATATGTGAATAATATGTTAATGTCTCAGTTAGTAAACGATGTGTGTGTGCAGGATTTATCAAACTCTTGTTTTATGCTTTCAAATACCTGCTAGAATGGCGTCAACCTAATCTTTGGATCATTGTCAAAAGAAAACACAATCGGCTCAGATAACCAGGATTATCATTCATGCGATGCAAGGAATGAGCCATGTTTTCATCAGCTGTTTTCCCACCCAGCTGAAACAATACACGACTATCTCCACACACATCCAGGCATAACCCCCTCTCTAAATAAGCCTTCTTTCTTCTCAAATGTTGTTTTGCTTAAGTAGGAGGGATTTAAAGAATCAACCCAAACATCTTTAATAAGGACTAACAGATCTGGTATGAGGGGTTAGGGGTTGGTGGCCTCGGGGGAAGAAGTTAGGGGTTTGGGTGGAGCAGTGAGGGAGTCGGGGGCGTCACGCGGCCCTGAGGTGAACTCTGACAGGGTGGAAGTGGGACCACATGTTTGTCCCAAAATTGCACTGCTCTGGCCACTCTGAGGTCCAAGGGCAGCCAAAACCTCACGTTTGAGGTTTGGAGTCAGTAATTGAAGCAGACGCAGGCATTCCTTAAAGGGATGTTCCACAAAAACACGCATTCACACACAAGACTGTTTATGATGCTTAATACCCTCTAATGCCCGTGTTCTCGCTATGCGGCTGTTTCTCTGTAGGCAGGTGTTTATGCCACATTTTTCCCTTTTTATTGACTTGGGCCATTTTCCTAATAGACACCAGACTGTAATAGGTTAGACTGTTAAATTGTTTGTGTCTAATTGAGTTTTATAACATAGCTTCATAATAGTGTGTGTGTGTGTGTGTGTGTGTGTGTGTGTGTGTGTGTGTAAGGTTTGGGGAATAAGACAATGTGCTTTCTCTATCTCTTCATGCTGTCCCCTATCTGTATTCAGGGCGAGTATAAAAGTGCTGCCCAGAGACAGTGATGTGCTTGACTCCTTCTGGCATCATCCCAGCTTCACTGCACTACAACCTTGACGTGTGATCAGACTTTACACAGAGGCAGTCACTCCTCTATCAAACCCTTTAAGCTATGACCTCATGCACAGCATATTTACTGAGACTTAAGATGGAGACAGTCACTCTCTGGATATAAGTGCAGTGATGATTTGTGTGTTGCTGTTTATGGGGGTTTGGAGGGGTACAACCCCTTTACACATAGCTATTATTTGATGTGATTCAGTCAGGCAGGCGGATTCTTGTTTTCCACATCATTTGTTTTTTTTCTGTTGAAGTCCCCTTAATTAATATGGTTCTGTGCCAAGGACCTGCAGACAGACTGGCTGGTTCACCTTAAGATGCCTCGTTGTTTTCTGTTCATTAAAAGCAAAAACTGAACGTCCTGCTGTCCAAAATTAAAATTGGTGGATGGGCATTGTGACATGACTAAATTTTAAACTCTTATTTTCTGTTGACAGGACTTGGGAGTGAGACCCCCATTAAACTAAGCAATCCAAGATTGCTACAGAAGAGAGCTTTGAGGTAAGAAATGCTGAACTTGGTGTGTTAACCAGGTTCATGATGTTTTTATTTCAGTTGTGTTAAGTCACTTTGTTAAATAATCTGGTAAATAAAAACACAGGTCCTTTATAAGAGATCATTTGAATATGAAAGATGCCATGAGAAAAGGCTGACATAATTTAATCATCATCACATTAAAGTCTAACATTTGAACATTTCTGTCTTTGGTCACTGCTAGTAGTAGTGGCAGACAGCAATGCACATTCAGAAAGCAATACATAGACTGCACCATTCCCAATCGGCTTGTCTTATTTTTCTACAAACAAAAGCTTATGCCCTCTGAATGAGTTTAAAGACGCCAAAATGGAGGTATCCATTAAACACATCCTTGTTGTAGGACTCTGATTGTGGAAACAAACAGATAGCAGCCTACCAGATGAGGCTTGGGTGCTTCTGACAGTGCCAGTGTCCAAGCTCAATGGGAAAGTAAAAGATAAGCTAACTTTGTTGCTTGGCAGTGTAAAACCTCTCTGCTGGAGCATTAGTAAGATTGCTCAGCATCCTGTTGTTGGCCGCATATCAAATGCACCTAGTATGCGTATTAGCCTCTATTTAGAAAGTTTCCTTTACGGCTGTGAGGACGTCGGGCACTGTGACACCAAGTTGGTGCCAAACTGTGTGGTTGTGGCTATGGCTTGAAAACTGTGCATGTTGGAGGATTTCAGTGATGAAAACAGATGTTGTTATGATAGAAAAAGGATCTACTATGTCTGTGCATATCAGCGTGTTGAGAAATTTGTGGGTGCTGGAATGGACAAAACCACAAAGTCATGTTTTCCCAATTCTTCCTCATTTCAGTAATCTGTTTCCAGCTGTTATATAGCTGTATTGTAATGTTGTGGTTTTGATTCAAATCCATAAATGACTTCAGCATGTTTCTGAGAGAGAAATGTGCTGGATGAGGCTGAGGGCGTGACGGGGGTAAAACCTTCTCATAATTTCAAGCTAAATATTTGGGGATTCAAGACTTCATGACATTTACAGGTTGAAATCCAGATGGATTGTTTAGATGATCAATTGCTTGTTTTTGTAGCTTCATCCACAATCAACTGGCTGATTCATTCAAACTGATCCTGCTTCCAGCAACATTTTTCTAGGATTTGGATGACTTTTCGAACAAATTCAGATTTATTCAGTGAGCCCCTTACAACTGCTTACACTTTTAGTCTATAAACAAGTCAAGTTTCCCACAGCTCAGCCCTGTTTCAATAACAGTTGGTATTTTTTCTGCACCCCTCAGCTTCCAGAAAGAATTCTTTGACGAAAAAGACGACCCAGCCAAAAGCACCAAGGATATAGATGTTAGTGTCTTGGCCAATCTTCCCAAAGGTGAGAGAGGTTTTTCCCTGCTTGCAAATGGCCTTCACAATGTCAACTTTCCCAGGGTTTTTGAAAGTCACTGTTGTGCAACTGCAGCCTTTGTGCCAGGTGGATTCATGTCAAGATTTGTCTAAAACCAGTTTTTCTGTAAGCAGTGCTCACAAATTGTACAATATAAAAAAAAAGCTGCTCTCTGTTTTCTTGATAGCGTCCATTTACTCACAAATGTTTGTACAGTAAAGAGATACGGTCCTATAGAGGTTTCTGGGGCTGTGAAGTCCTACTGGATGGTGAATATAATAGTTTGATGAGCTGTTGGAGGATTAGCTTTTTACAAGTTGTGATTTGGGCAATGAGATAGAAAGTATGTACATGTGAAATTGTAAAAAAATTAAATAAAGAGTTTGATGACCGGAAAAATAAAACCGGTCATCGAACTATTTTTTGGACAATAATGCCAGACCACCACCCTTTCTTGTGATGTACACAAAAGTTTTGAATGTTGTAACATAATGAAACTTTTTTTAACTTGACAGGAATACTTTAGATAATAAGGGTTGGGTTTCAATAGCTGGTTCCATTTTGGATCCGATTTCCTTTTGGCTTAATACCTGGATTTTCTAAACTTAGACTAACACATTTCTTATCAACCCGTTTATCTCTCAACTTCTTGCACTTTTTTATTAACAAAAGATCATTTGTGAGGGAAATTGTAAGAGTCATCTCGAAGGAGAATTTAGCTCCCAGCTAAATGTTTACACTTATTATATGTTAAACCTGCAATAATAGATTTTTCTGGCCACTTAAGGCCAGAGATAACAAGCTGTTAACTCAACACCTGCATATTATTGTCTTATAAAGTTGTTATGGCCAACATGTTAGCAAAGCCTGTGCTATTTACCCATCATGGAGCTGCATCATTATTCATTTGGAGTTTTGTATATGTCCACCAAGTGAATACAAGGCCAATATACACTCTCCTTTTAACTTTGTTTAGCTCTCAACCAACTTGTGGGGTAAATATCTCTTAGCTCTTTACCTGCTAAATGAACTGCTTTGCTCACCAGCTAGTCACTGATGTGCTGGACAGGTAGTGTACAGTGGGGTCTGCTGCTGCTGAACCCAACCCTACAGATAATAGACAATAGAGCCTTGATTAAGAACATTGCAAAGAAAGAAAACAATCTGCCACCCAGATCTAACCTGTGAATGTCCATTACTGTCTAAACGAACAGTTTGGATTGATTAAGATGGCACTGCTAGGGCATATGTTTTCCTGTTCATTGAGATATAATAATATTATGTTTTCATTCTTCCTTTAGTCTCTGAATTGAGGAAACGATTTGAAGGCATTAGCACAAGCACAAGTGACTGGGAAATGAACAGGTGAGAAGGCGACGATACATGCTGCAAACGTTTTTAATAATGTAACGTCTGAGGTTGACTACCTCTTACTTCCTGTCCGTTTGTGTGCCTGTGGCGTGTAGAAAGGAGCGTATTGCTCGGCGGTTGGAGGGCATTGAAGGTGAGATGCATCCGTCTCTCCTGCCCAGTTTGGTGGCCAACCGGCTTCTGGAAGAGGACACACCACGATACACCAGGGCCTCTGACCCTTGTGAGCCCTGTGGTGGTGAGACAAGTACATTACCTGGACAGTTTTTTAAACTTTTTTATGCTTAAATGGGAATAATTGACTCATGATTTGTCATTGTTGTGTAGTTACAGTCCAGCGGTATGGCATAGAGGGATTTGAAAGCGCAGGAATGCAGCTAACCGCTCCGGAGCGACAGTCCCGAGCTCGATGCAGACCTGAACCTCAGTCCGCCATCCACACAGAACCTGTCTACAGTTCAGGCCCCACCACCAGTGCCCCAGAGCTGGAGTCCAAGGCTGAACGCATCGCCCGCTACAAGGCAGAGCGGCGCCGGCAGCTGGCAGAGCGCTACGGCATCTCTTTGGATCAGGAGCTAGACCTTGACTGTCCCTCCAGCTACACAAGCACCCGGAAAGAGGCGGAAGGCTTCGGTAGGCAGAAAGGGGAGTTTGTGGGGGAAGAAGGGAAGGACATCACCCTGAGTTCCTCTGCCACTAGCCCCAGGGCAGGACGCACGGCACCACAGCATGGCCACCCCAACCTGGGTTACGAGATGGGTCGAATTATGGTGGACTCGTTCTCAGAGAGGGAGAGGCTGATGAACCTGGAGAATCAACGCCGAGCTGCTGAGCCACCATCCTCTTCCTCATACATGGATGTGACATCATTGTCCTCAGCTGCCAGGGTGCCCGCCAAGGACTCTTCAGTCACAGGGATGCCACCCACTTCACCCAAGCTGAGCAGGCACCCTTCCCTCTCCCCACCTAAACACGGGGTATCTCGTGGGGACCTCTTCATTGAGCAGCAGGCCCACAACATCCTCAGCAGGCAGGGGTGAGTGGTCTTGATCACTGTTCCTTTTTGCCCTCATCTTTTTTTATTACTGCTCTGTGTTTGATATGCCCTTAGTAGACTATTCCCTTGGTTTGAACATGGTTTCCATGTGGACAAGAACACTGCTATCATTACCTTTAATAGATGGACTTGCTGTGGTCCATCAGACTAGTCCATCAGTCATCCTGTTGGCAGGAGTGTGGTTTCAGACCAGGTCAGGCAACCTGAGCTACTCTTGGAACAATCTTTGAGCACAGACCCAGTCCCAATGAGACCTACAGCTGGGCTTACAAAATACATGGGCAGATTAATGCAAAATGAGTGTGTTGTATTCTAGGGATTTCAGGTGGATCTGTTGAGAATAGAAAATTGCTGTACGAAATTCCCAAATGAACACATGCCGGCCAAGCTATTTTGTTAGAAAAAGCTGTCAATGAGGCTCTTTGGGTGGAGTAAACCTCTGGCTCTATAGCTGATCCACATTCTTAAAGAGAATTTGCTCTTCTTTGAGAAGTTCAACAACACAAAGTGCTTTCCTGAAGGATCGTTCCAGTTTATTGCAACTTGGTTTTTGTATTTCCTATAATAATTACAATATTCTACCTCTTATTACCCAAATACTTAACACCTACCACAGCTGACTGTCTGTTAATATCAATTACAGATTTAATGTTGTGGTTCCACTTCAATATTCTACCATACTTACTAACACATAGTTTAGCTTGCACCAAGGCTGGATCACCAAGCAAAATTGTAAAAGCACTTTGGTTGTTAAGATAGGAAAGTGCTATATAAATGCAGTCTGTTCACCATTTACTACATACAAATTGGGGCCAGGTTAGTGTTCCAAGCTAATAAGAACACAGTCAGTGTTTAGGTTCTGGGCAAAATGAATTGGGGGGGACTCACAGGGGCCCTTTAGTTCTTTTTTGCCCACAATTTTATGTCTCCGCTTCGGGTCATGGCTAGACTGGATTCTAGTTTTGTCACGACTTTGAAACATAGGTTACATAATATGTAATATTATTGTAATGTTTAAAAGCTGAACAGTGAAAATGCTGGGGTATGCAGGGTCTACACTTTACTAATAGAAGTAAACCGCTGACATGAGCTATAGCTGTCTCTCAAACTCTCACATAGAGTCTAGACAAAAGTGTACATTCTTGCTACAACCCCCAATAGTCCACTTTGGCCATTAGATCTGTATTTGACATCATAGTAATAAGCATGAAAAGGAACAGTGACATTACGCTAACCACAGAAGCTGTGAAAAGTGAAAATTAGTAGCTGGTTGTGTATTTATATTTCTGCGGAAGTTTCTTATAGCGGTAGTATTGTGCTCATTTTCATGTTTATAATCTTATTTAGGGGTTGTTCCAGAACAGGTTTACATGGTTTCATTTTTAAAAAACACCATAGTTTTTGTCACACTGCACATTGCTGCAGCTCCTCTTTTCATTATGTGTTGAAGGCTCCGTTTTAGCTGTGGAGTGATATATCGCACATCTACTAGATCTTTGTTGGGAGTTGCACATGCGCAGTTCCTACTTAAGGACTTATAACCAATCAGATCAGCTGAGTAGGGCAGGTCCCGAGAAGCCGGTAATCACGGCTTCGGTTCAGCTGTATATCCCCTTACCAGCTTAGCAACATGGACTGGAGCAAGAGTTTCAGAGTGGTGTTATTAATCTGTAACAAATATATCTTTCATCCATAAAGTTATAACTTTTGGAAGGAAGAGGAGAGGCAGCAGGCGGACGTCTTGTCACTGTGTGCTGAGTGTTTTTCCACCTGTGTTTTTAAAGGTGTGTCGGACGAGCCTCTAGGCGCGCATTTTGCTGTGATGTCACGGTATATAACTCAATAAAGGAGAGGGAAAAAGCCAAAAAGCATAATATGACCTCTTTAAACCTGCAGTGCAGAACTTTTCTCTCCCCTTGTGACAATGAGAGTAATACATTAACACTATCAAAACGTGCTTATGACGTATGCCTACAGGTGAGCTCTCCCCAGCCTCCAGTTCAGAAATAGTTACAAAAATACAGGGACATTTCCGCAGTTCCAGGACAATAATCCCATGCTTGTCCTCGCTGTCGAACGCGCTTTTTTTTTTTTTTTTTTTTTTCTGTAATCCTTCCTCTGCATCCAAGTTTCTTTTTAACTGGGGCACTTTTCTTGGATGCTTCTTAGGTTTTTCCACCATAGGTTCTGCCATACTCCAAGTTGCTGTAGCGTACTCCATCGCAACAGTTACTCCAGAGCCATGTAGAGAGAGAGCTGCGTCATCCCCATTAAATTTCAGTTCAAGTGGCGATATCGGCATGACTGCATACAATACTTCATAATTGTATAGTTTATTAAATTATTCATGTATATTACCACAATCTATACAATTATTGTAAAGATAAATAAACAAAATAAACAAACAATCATAAATGTTCTCTCCAATGGACCTTGGGTTGTTCCCACCTTTAGCTCTGGCTAACAAATCATTGCTTGTTGGTGGTAAATGCATCCTCACCAGCATGCCAGTGCTGGAATGATGCAACAGACACCAGATTTAAAAACTGCAAAATACAGAAACATTTACTTGGCAGTGATAGGCTTAATTAGCATTGTGTGAACACGTTTGGCAAGGGCTTGAATTTAACATTTATATTAGGGCTGCTCAATTATGGCAAAAATCATAATCACAATTATCTTAGTCAATACTGAGATTGCAATAATTTAACGCGATTACTCACTGACTTAGGAAACATATGCAGTTATTGAACTTAAAATAAAATTGAATACTTCATTTTCAAAAATTATTCTATATGCATTACCCCATAAATCCCAAATAGCCTATGAAATAAGAAATAGTAATCCAACATTATTAACTTTAAATGGCATAGTGTAAAATGCAGTAGGCTAAATCCCAACCCAATGGTGACAAGTCATGGCAGTTATGGCACCCATCATCTTGGCTCAAGTTGAGCTAAAACTGCCAACAGCCTGGTTGAGAGTGAGTTTGGGCTTTTAGGGAGGGGCAAGAGCCACCACTGTAAAGGAAACGGTTGCACTGCATTTATAACACAAGAAATAAATGCAAATGCAAATGCTCCGTATTTGTATAGCGCCTTTCTAGTCTTTTCGACCACTCAAAGCGCTTTTACACTACATCTGCATTCACCAGTCATACACATTCATACACTGAGCCTAAGTGCTCAAACGGAAACTAACATTCACACTCATTCATACGCTGGCGGAATAGCCACAAATAACAAGAGCATCATTGCGAAACTGAATGCCAAACAATAATAATTTAATCTTGATTATCTTATTTTCATAATAGTTGGAAGCAAAAATCATAATTAAAAATATAATACGATTTATTGCACATCCTTAATTTATATGCAAGTCCTGCACTCCTGCTTTAACCACATTCTGATCCTTATGGCATGTTAACTTTGTTGTAATCATTAAATCATGTGTACATTTACCTACAGCTATCGTCATGTAATCATTTAGACCCATGCTGTTCATATGAACAAATGAACAAGCATGCAGTAGTTCACCAAATAATGTTATGTGGACTCACAGTGGGCAGAGAGGGAGATATAAGGAGTGAAGGCATAATCTAGGATTTTTGTTCCACTGCTCACAAAATTAGGTATTCAGGAAATACATCATTGTGAGCGCTGATTATGTTTCTTCATATAATGGGCTTTGTCCAAAAGTACACATATATAGCAAAACAAAATCAGGCACTTGTATCCCAAGGTCACAAAAAGGCTTTGCTTCAGAAAGTTAGGTTTAGCATTTTTATCATCTGATTTTAAAGACTTACTAAAGTGCTATTTTTAAAAGTATTAGTGCTTTTATCTGAGGGTAAGTACTAAGTAGTGTTTTGACTCCACTACTGATAGTACAGATGCTATCAGCTTGAGCACCTCTATATAATGGATCTTTCTTCCTTATTTCTGATGTAACCAGCTGGCCCAGCAATGTTCTTGCCCAGGCTTTGGCCCTGTAGTCCATGTTGCTGACAAACAGATGATGATGATGATTGTATAGCTGACTATGCTGTCATTACCTATCTGATGTTCCTGTCTGCATCACCCTCTCTTGCCTGTTCCTCAATCCCTCTCTTAGGTTTTAAAACTTGGCCTGTGTGTCTATGGTGCAGGGGAGGTGTTGTGTTACTGGGCGGCTCAGTGTGCCTTCACATTCAGATCTCTGACCCACAGCTGGACTTGATCAAGTCCAGCGAGGCCTGTTGGGAAAGAATGAGATAGGAGAGCGCCCCCTCTACCTCTTTTGAGGATCAGTGGGACCTTCAAAATTCTCTGACATTAATAGCTACATTTTAGGAGTTAACTCTTGACCTTGGAAACTGTCTGTCTGTTTTACTAGGCATAGTTCAACATAGTTTTCTTTAAAATGGTGTTTTAAGATGCTGTCAATTATCAATGTTGGCCAGCTTCTTTACATTGCTTCTGGTGGTGTCTGGACATATTCAGTGTAGTTATCGGCCCTTTAGAAGAAGCCATTTGTGTCTATTTATTCTTTAAAGTATGAAAAACATCTTCCATCGAATTATCTAGGTTATCTCTGCCATTAAATAAAAAATAAACAGTCCTGTTCTGATTTATCATTCAATTTTCAATCAATCAAGTGGGGTTTTTTTTGTGAAAAACTGAGCTCTAGACCAGGACATTTTCTTGATTAAATGTAGCATTGAAAATATTATTATGACATATCTTTTAAAAAAGAGAGAAAATAGACCCAAATAGAGAGGGAACTCCAACTTTGCAGCCGTGTGATGATTTATCAGTCAACAAGCAGCTGTGGTCTAAAAGAGCAACAGTATAATAAAAGTGTCCTTCAAATGAATGTAATGTCATAGCAACTATATTAGCTTTATTGGATTGGACAGTTTAGAGGCAGAGAGGAAGAAGATAGAGGGGTATGGAATGCGACACAGGTAGGGATGGGTATCGTTAGGATTTTGCATACGACTACTCTTATAAATACTCCTTATCAGGTTCATTTTCATTAGTAAATAAGTGCTTTTTAAGCAGCTCGGATGCTGCAAAAAGACAAATAGCCTATTCACTTTTATTAAACAGTAAATAAAGTATTGTTCAAACTATTCCCTTTTTTCCCACTGACCAATGAGGAAAACATATATTGAAATTGGTCCAGTATTGAGCGAGCACACTGCAGTCGGCAGAAGTGAAACTGGGCTGCAACTTAATCCTTCTGGGCTATTGTGCATTGTCAAAGTATCTCCACTGACATGCTCAGGTTGTTGTTGTTATAAACAATACTGTCGAAAGGATGCCTACAGAGAAATACCTTTTTTTTTTTTTTTTAAAGAGTAAAATCCTCTTGTTTAACCTGAAGCACTAGCCACTATATAGCTCTGTTCAAAGCCACCAGACTCCCTCGACAAAAAGAAGCTATTTTATCTTGCAGAACATGGAGTTGCTGGTCTATCCCTGCCTGTTTGGTTAGTTTGCTTGTGTTACTGTGTGTCTTTGGTTTTTTAAAAGCTTAAATCACCAAAGTCGCACAATAACACAGATAAGCCGAACAAGTCAGCTGTAGTAAAAGTACTGTTTTTGTCAATGTAGTCTGGTGGCTCTGAGCAGATTGACGTAGCGGCTGTTTCTTGCTAAACAAAAATAATCTTACACTTTAAAAAAAAGTTTTATTTCTGTAGGGACCCTTTCCACAATTTTGTCAGATACTCTGATAGTTATTATTATTATAATAATCTGAGGCTGTTGGTGGCAAAAATAAGCACTTTAGTGGATGAACTTTGACGATGCACAATTTCTGAGAAGGATTACGCCTAGTTTTGCTTCTACTGACTGCAGTGCCCTTGTTCAATACTGGACCAATTTCAAAAAGTGTTGTCCCCATTTGAAAAATAAGCTCCCTTTTAATGAAAGTGATTAGGCTATTTTTCTTTGCGCAGCATCAGAGCCAGCATGACTCATCTGCCTTTTTGGCTGTGGTAGAATGAGTTTGCATTACCTCTGAATATCTTCTTCCACAGATAAGACCACAGTTAGACAGGTCTGAGCTGTGTCTCAGATACAGTGATACAGTCAAGCACTGTTTTTATTCCACAAAACGTATGTGCACTCTGTGGCCAAATCTGATCGGTCAAGGGACATATTTCTGTTTTTCATTGCTCTTCACTTAAATATAAAAAATAAACATTAATAGTTCAAATGTTATTGAGTGTGATGCCTCTCCCAAAACCACTAACAATGAAATGTCTCACTGGGGAGTAAAACTTGTTTTCTTAGCAGGACTCTGCTGGTGTCCAAGCCTATTTTCTCTAACTGGTCAAGCTCAATGTGAAGTCAGTGGTGTGTGTAATCTAGTGGTGTGTCATTGTGACTCCGGGCTGTGCTGGAGCCAAGAAAAATGGCTGAATACTGAATCTAGACTTTCACTCAACTCACATCTCCCACCGGCTTTCCATTGGTACAGTGTGAGGGCAAAACTGAGCACTGACTGGTTCCTCCAGACTGATGCTGAGGGCGACACGCATTCTCTCATCAACTGGCCCTCGAGGTACACCCAGTTTGTTTTTTTCTCACCCCAGTATCACCTGCCATGTTGCCATTCAGCTGGACTTACCAAAACTCATGAACCCTTATGAGTAGTGCTTCTTAAACTGTAGGTCAAAACAGAACCCAGTACTGTTCCAAGACTATGCTTTCTGTCTTTTATTATCTCATAGTGTTAAACCTGGTTTACTCAATTTGGGTTCTGGGCTGATTGTGTTGTGAAGACACATGTTTAAGAACCTCTGCTTTTGTGCTTCAAGAGTCAGCTGACATCACATCATGATCATCCTAATTGCCAAATGCTCCCGTTCCCTTTGCTTCGGACCATAACTTCATTTCCCATGTTGCTGTGTTCAGTTTAATTCCCATGTGAAAATAAAATGTTTGAAGAAAACATTATATTAAGCATACTAATGAAGATGATTGGATGATTAAACACTGGGTAGTGATGTTATATTGCTTCTTTTCCTAGATACTGACTTTACATTTTCTTCAGGTTTTTTTTTCTTTGCCTCTCTCTACATATCTATCAATAATCAGTTGAGGTAGGTATCTCATATAGGAGTATCATCCAGAAAACGAGTTTTGGTACAGATGCTAAAACGAACTTGTTTGAGCTGAAACACATTGTTAAATTTGGTGTGATTTATACTATAAAGAGGAATATTTGTATATCTGGTGTCGATCACAAACATTGATTTCTAATTGTGCTTAGAAATCATAGAAAAAAGATGTTCTTCAGATCTTGTCTTATAATGAGCATGTTTGGAAGTTTTCATCCATATCAAAGTAATCAAATGACATAGGGCTGCAACTAACTATTTTCATTGTTGATTAATCTGTTGATTATTTATTCGATTCAGTTGTTTGGTCTATAAAATGTCTGAAAATGTAGATCAGTGTTTCCCAAAGCCTCAAATGATGTCCTCAAATGTCTTGTTTTGTCCACAACCCACATATATTAACTGTCATTGAGAATGAAAGAAACCAGAACATATTCACGCCTATTATACTGCATTTCCAGTCCTATATTGTAGTTCTGTAACTCCTGTATGGTAGCATGATTCAAAGTTCAAAAAAATAATTTTCTATGAAACAAGCTGTAGATGCTCCTGTCTCTTTAAGTTGGCTCTTAATTTAATAGTTGACAACTAACTGATTAATGGTTGCAACTGTAAAATGTTACTTATCTGTACATCCATGGGTACAGTGCAAACAGGAATTGCTAATAGTTGTTTCGGCATTAACCCTTCATAGTGCAGATTTGCCCACAGCTAACTCACTGAATCCATGGCAACATTATGTTTCCTTGCTTGCATCCCCCAGTGGGAACTGTAGTACCAAAACTAAGATTATCCCAAATAAAAGTTAAGAAGTATAACTATGGAGTTCACATACATACTGTATATTTTCTATGTGTTGAAAACCTGTGGACATGCAGGCCAAAAACTAGAACATGTTATAAATCACAACTTGCATGCACATTTATGGTATTTCTAAGTAGCCCAACCTATTCTGAAAATATTGATATATGGCAATCCTAACGATGCATGAACTCTGCTAAAAGCCTACAAATAAAAGGAGTAAAAACCGAGCAACAAAGTCAAAGGATTAATTGACAGTAGTGGATTAGTTGCATCCCTACTTTCAGTACCTAACTCTGATGAATATGAACATGTTTTCTTCCAGTCTATCAAAACATGCCAACATTCATCAGTGGATCATCATTCAACGTTAAATGTAATCACTTTTGGTACTCTATTCTAAGGACACACAAAATCAGCTCCTCCCATCATGCTGAATGGCGTATATACATAAAAGTCCAGATAGGCGTAGGTTCTGTTTTTGTCTGCTCCTTTTATCAGACCATGTACAATAGTCATCTTTATGAGTTTAAAATACATATGCTGTGTTTATTTATGTTGTACAGATGTTAACCAGCCCTTTGTTTCCCTGAAGAATCAGAGTTAGAGAGAGGCTTGCCAGGGAGGAGGGCAGCCAGAAGAGCCCAGAGCTGGGAAATACTACAGAAACCCCAGTGTACCGCAGAAAATTTCAACACCAGACCCAAACCTCTACACACTACCACACAGACCCACCAGGCCCCCAGCAAGCTTACTCCAATCCCCAACTCCACCCCGAGGCTCAATTCACCCGACCAGGGCCACCGGGAGGACAAGAAGTTGGAGGTTACCCCAGTTACCTGTCTATGGCCTCTGGTCCCACATCCAGAGCCGGAGGGCAGCTGCAACAACAACTGCAAGAGGAAGAGACTGAGGAGTCAGAGGATGTGAAGACAGAGGGCCTTCTGAGGAGTAGGAAAGCAGTGCTGCCCTCTGAGATTCGCCGCAGGGAGAGGAGCACTGAGGACCCATGGAGAGGAAGGGGGGAAGAGGAGCAAGGGATGTCCAGGGTGCTCAGTCTCAGGCAGGCAAGGGAGTCTGAGGCAGATGATCCAGCAAGAGGAGGAAACCGAAGCAGAGCCAGGCTGGATGAAACAGAGCACACTGCCCTGCAACCATCAGGGCGCAAGCCCAGAGAGCGGGAAAATGCCATTTATATCCACAAAGGGGCGGTTGCCACCCACATCCAGCCCAGAGTGGCACATGCAGGCCCAGGAAGCTCCAGCTCCAGCACAGCCCGGAGTCGCTCATTGTCAGATGCTGGGGATCCACGAGGGTCCAGTCAGAGCAACCTGCAGCACCAGGCCCAGGACCCCCAAGAGGTCAGGGATGGTGAAGGTTTCAGTAACCGAGAGAGTCACAACGACACCGGGGTGTCAGTGGCCCTGCTTAGACATTCCTACATGGAAAGCACCACCACCCCCCCAACCAGCCGCAGGAATGAGCTGTAGGTGGCAAAGTCAAATGCTACACCGCTGCTACTCATTGGCTGGCTGCTCTAGAACTCAGTGCTTGTTACCTAACATCTGCTGGCTACTGAATGACTAACAAGCAACTAAGGCTGGAGTGAAGTTAACATCAAAGCATAGTTTTCAGAGTTTCTAATCTGTAGAAATGGTATTAATGCATTATTCACACAAGTTCCTAAGCTTTTTCTGATGTTTGTTTTTTGTTCTTTATTGGCATTGTGACTTGTTTGGGTCCAATGAACATGTGCATGGTGTAATCGCTAATAAATCTGCATCGTCTTGCTCACATACTGATTTAAAAACCAGTGATGTGACTAAATATTCAAACCTCTGCTTTTAAACATTTTTGCTACCGGTCCTTCTTCATCGCTCCCTCACTACACTGTATTTTCTCTTTCCTTTGGGTACTCTATCTGTTGGTCCCTCTCCTTGGGTGGCCCCTCCAGTGAGGTTATGGGGGAGAGGGCACTCGCTGGCTACGAGGCCCCATGGAGAGGGGAGAAGGACAGGGGGCGCAGGCCTCGACAGTATATCTGTCCTGGGGATGGTAGAAAGACCTCAGAGAGGTTTAGGACGCAGCCCATCACTTCTGCTGAGCGCCAGGAGACTGATAGGTACTGCTCTGGACTCAAGAATGTATTGCCGCGAGTGAATGCTAGAAAATATCCGTATGATGATGCATGTCAAAGACATAACATGATGTTGATTTTGAGTGATTCTATGCATAGGAATGTTGATTCCAATCAGGTTAAAATAAATAAAGAAATAATTTGATTGTATTTCGATAATCCATAATCAGATTAATAGCATGATGTGGATCATAGTTTACCACAGGTCAATGGTTGTGACACACACAGTCATGTACACGCTCACTTTGTCCTTGATTTTGCTCCTCACTCTAGCAACATTAGCAAGCAAGGAAGCTTAAAGGTCAAAGGTCCATCTGATTGGGCCTTGGCAGTGGTCATTGCATGTGACTATACCAGGGAAGCATGAATTGGCCTTTGTTGGTAATCACTCCCTGAGACCATGGAACTGAACAGACTTGTAATGCCGCCTAATTCCCCAGCTTAGTCCGCTTTACTTAAATATTTCCCTTTCTTCACAAAACACTCGCTGTCACATTTCCAGCATACCAGAAACGACTGCTTTTCACTGCATCACCTCACCTTCTCTGTGACTACCTAGATTCATTTTTCTTTCTAACCAAACACCACCATACTGAATTAAGCATTGTTGCTAGCTTTTGCTAATTATCTTTTTCTTTTTGGACTTTTGAAGGTCCTGTGTGAGTTCAGATCTTGCTTCCACTGAAGGTAAGTCTTTTTTTTTTTGTCCCGGCTAAGATTTGAAGTTTGTTTAAGAGTGAATCATGGTTTTCAAAACACATCAATAACATTATCTGGACATATGGTACACATATTTGGTCATAAGTGGTTAGAGTGCAAGTATATTTGTTGATGAACATAGTTACAGACATTTAGGATGTATTACAATGAATGTGTTCTCAAGAAAATAAAAAAACCATAAAGCTCATGTACTACTGTAGCCTCTGGCGCAATTGTTGGCTATCTTTAGTAGAATTATTAGCATGGCTGTTGTATGTGTTTGAGCTATGAGATTGCTTGGCTGGGACTTCAGTTGCATGTTTAATGGCACATTTACAGCAATAAAAGTGATGCACTTTTGTTTGTAGCTAATGAATCATATGTTTTTAGTTACATGATGTAATTTTGAATTAATGCTACCAAAATCAACATTCACACACTATATTTAGGTTCTTTAAAGGGTATTAATGTCACCATAAACTGACTGAAGGACTTGTAATTTGCAGATAACAACACTATTCTCTGAGTAGAATAAAATATTTCATCATTCTTTTGTCTTTGATGGGCTGAGTTGAAGAGTATAAAAAGTATTAAAAAATGTTAGGTTTATGATTTAGTTGAGTTGCTTTGCATTTAAATTAAGCCTGCTCTGAATCATAATTGCATGGTTTTAGTAACAGGCACTGTTATCTGCTAGTCTGTTATCAATACTACTTGTTACTGGTGCTTACAGTAGCATAAGAGCACATCAGCTCCACTGAGGGCAGAACCCTCTCATCTGTTTATTATAAGCACACGCTCAGCTGGGACGCATTTTATATTGGGCTCAGTACAGCGGTGTCGATCAAAAGAGAATAGTTGTTTGGTGATGTCATGTCATATGTCTTGCAGAGATTTGTGTGTATGCAGACATGCCTCTCACACCCGTCTAGCTCTGCAGTGACGCCAGTCACAGGTTTATGGTTTATCTTTGCTCCCAGCTACAAACCCAGATTGTACTGGTGGTGGGTAATGATAAAGATAATTATAGTGATGGAGATCAATGGACACTTAAAAATGTGTTGCTTTGAAATATTCCATCTATTGTGACAAAAGAACACTCTTTTCTAAGACACAACAAATGCAATTTAGTTGAACGTCTCAGCAGTGCATTTGCTGTAGGGCTGCAGCTATCGATTATCATAGTAATTGACTATTCTACAGATTGCATCAATTAATCAAGTAATCGGATAAGAAATACTTTTGATTGGCGCCCCCAGTACCGGGATCAGCTGTGCAACTCACTTCACTGTACTTCCCAAACTCACAGACTCTAGCTGGAGAACAACAACAACAAACGCATGGTTGGACATTTACAACTAAGAATTGTGCCTAGCAATCATTATTTAGGTTAAACGCTAACATTACCGTTACCTTGTTTTCGAGTCCACTCCTTGGACTTGATGTCTAGACTGGATGCTTTCTGCTCAGATGCTGAAGCATTGCAGTCATGCTATTGTGGTAGGCTGGTTCCGGTTTACAGTAGACACGCTGTACAGAGTTGCTTTCTTTTAACCTGAAATGATCCCATACTTTGGACACTTTTTCTCTGGCCAGTCTCTTCTTTGTCTCTCGCTATTTTCTCTCTCTTCGTCTATTTTGCAATCCATGCCATTAAATCACGTCGTCTTCACTTCACAGCAGAAGCATTGAGGCTAGGAATTTCCATTCATGCATTTTATGCGTCAAGTTACTCCGGTTTCTGAATGAATGAATCGCTACAGCCCTAATTTGCTGTCATATATTAGTTGCCCCAAAAGCAGATGCCGCAGTTAAAACTCAAATATAAATGTTAAATAGTCATACTGTATCTTCCACTCTGTAAATGTGATGCAATTGGTTTTCACTCTTTTTGAGTTTCCTAAAAATCCGGTCTCCGTATAAAATGTATGAGAAATAATTAACTGTTCAGCCTTTAACGTCTCCTCTTATCTTTCAACCCTCCCTCAAGTAGCCTCAAGGTTTTCTCTCCCATATGTAATACGGTATATTCTGTACAGTTCCAGCCTATAATTGAAACTCTATGATGTTTACACTAAATCAGACCCAAAACTCCATGTTTTTATGGTTGCACCGTTCCATCAAACTGAAATATTCTAGATATCTTGGACATCATTTCAAACACATTTACCCAAAGCATGACATATTTGGTATTTTTAGAAACTCTAGTATCTTCAATAGAATTTAAAATTAAGTCTTGTACACTTTAAAAATGTGTAGTTGATCAATATGATCATAATTCACCAACCACTCGGGCACTGCTTGAAAGATAATTTTGACTTGTTTTTTTGTGAGAAGACTTTCAAAGGTTCTAATGTCTCTGTGTCCTCTTCCCTCCTGGCTTCCCTTCTCTGTAGCTGATGAAGAGAAGCTAGATGAACGGGCCAAGCTGAGTGTAGCAGCCAAGCGCTCTCTCTTCAGGGTGAGCTTCAACTATCGCCTATATGTCCTTTCATTTCTGCAGATCACATGCTGGTTCCAGACATCAAGCATGGAGCAATCTGCTTCCAATCAAGAACACAATCATTGACACTGTTTTTTTTCTGTCTTCTCACTACTGTGGGGATTTAGAGATAAGAACTTGGAAATATTCGTGATTTGGTTTCAGCACAGGCATTTCAATGGAAGCGTTTTAATTTCTTAAGCTCAAGATAGTATGTACTTACATTTCCAAACACCTTTGATAATAAATACGTCCCTAATGTCCCTCAATTTTCAATTCAATTTCAATTTCTTATCCAGTTGATACTTCAGTATCCAAATCAAGTATCAGACCCACTGTCAAATAATCCCTTGTTAAAGTCTGTAATGCCCATGCTTCATCAGACTTTCACTTCTTACAAAATCTTACAACAACCAAGTTAACTCTTCTAAAAGGTTATCCTACTAGAGTTAAGATGAGGTGATTGATTTATAAGGATTTTTCATATTTCCGTTTCCATCCAGGAACTTGAAAAGAGCATTGATGGCGGAGCCCCTAAACCACGGTCCAGGAATGCAGCAGTGGACAGGAGACTAAGACGGACACAAGACCGATCCAGAACTCAGCCAGTCACCACTGAGGAAGTAGTCATCGCTGCAACGTAAGTCTTTGCAAGTTACTTTGTTTTATGTTGAAGTGATATAGGTTGACATTTGTCAAAATTCAGGTCTCTTCCACAGAGCCAAGCTCCATACAGACATGAGTGGTATTAATCTTCTCATCTGAATTTCAGGTGGAAAGTGATGAGGATATGGAACAATGTTCCTTTAATAAAAGCTCAACTAAAGTGCTTTGAAGTGTCACATTACCTACATTACAAAACATTTCTCTTTCACCCCTCATGACACATTATTAAATTACATTTTCAGACATTTGAGACTCCTGCCTCCACACCATCACAGTGGACATAAACAGGATTTTGTTTGTAGTGCTCACAGCATTGACAATAACTGAAAATAGGGAACAATGTTCCAACTGCTCTGGAATATCCACAGACCGCACTCAGAAAAAACTTGGTTCTGTGGATTATTGTATTAAGGTGGAGGCAGAAATCTCAGACATTGGATATCTCTATAAAACTATCTGCATGGCTAGACTTCAGTGGAGGTAAATGAGACTTTTTTTTTTTTAAATATGTGTGGAAAATCCACATGATGTAGTAGTATTTTCTCATCCTGATAGCTTTTCCATCACATTTTATGCATTGGACATTACCCACAATTTCCTTTGTATATAAAATTCTCCATGAACTCTGAAATGAAATTTTGGTTTAAAGGAGACCAATTATGCTTTTCCTTATCTATGTTACAATTTTGGATGAAAGCTTCAAATAATGACATTAAAGTATTTAAAAGAAATCCCTGTGAGCCAAAACTTCATATTTCCTCCTGTTCCAAATGCTCTTTCAACAGCTTTTTTTAACTCCACACCGAGCCGGTATTCCATATATGGTAATATGCCTGCACCGCTACCTTCAGTTTGTCTGTACCACCAGAGACGTTTTATAGAGGAGAAATGCCACTTTAAGAATCTTCAATACAACTCTATAGGGAAAACTTGTTAATCCAGAAATGGCGGGTATCCCGCCCCTCTCCATAGAAAGCCAATCGTCTGCTTTTAACAGCCGAGACGGGAAACTCATCCAATCGTGTGGTTCCACTAACATAAGAATCTACTGCACATGTGTCACTTCGGTGGGGAAACACTTTTTTAACCATATTTTGAGGCAAAGTGATCAAACATTTTCAGCGATTTTTATCAGATTTTACTGCTGACTCCATTCTTGCAGGTCCCAGAGACCAGTGAAAGTGCAGTTATGGCTCCCTCCCAATTCATTCAGATAAGACCCTGGTCTTGTTAGTCTGAAATAACTACCTGGAGCCTTTATTAAGATGGCTGCCGAGTGGCAGGACTTACCTATTCCTTTGGTGTACTGCTCAGCTGAGCAAAAGCCTGGTAAACATGCTTCAGGTCTTGGCCAATCAGAAGACAGTGGGCTTAGAGAGGGGGTGGCTTATAGAGACAGGAGCATCTACAGCTTGTTTCAGACAGAGGTGAAGAGTCAATATAAGATAGAAAATTACTTTTCAAATAACAAAATTTTCAAATAACAAACTACAAAGTGAGTGAACATAAGAAAAATCAAAAACAATATATAATATTATAATAACAATATAATAACAATATTTGGTGTGACCATACTTTGCCTTCAAAACAGCATCAATTGTCAAAGGTACAATTGCACAAAGCCAGGGATTTTATAGGCATATCTTCATGTGTATGATTAAATAATTATACCCAACTGGTGCTAATGATCACCTATTCAATATATAGGTTGCAACACAATCGTTAACTGAAAGTTTAACAGCTGTGTAGGAGGAATACAACTGGGAGAAGACCCGCCAAACTCAGCTAACGAGTTAAGGCTGCTTAAGACAGTTTATTGTCAAAAGTCAGACACCATGGCAAGACTGAACACAGCATTAAGACACAACGTAGTTATACTGCATCGGCAAGGTCTCTCCCAGTTAGACATTTCAATGTAGACAGCTCTTTTGAAGAAGTGCAAAGAAAAGGGCAAAGTTGAGGGCCGTAGTGGTTGGCCAAAGGAACTTACTGCAGCAGATGATAACACATCAGAAGATGTCCAGCCGTGCCATCAGCTCAGCCGAAGGTCTAGAGAGCAGTACAAGGAGAGTCCGCAGGCTTTTTTTCTTTTTTTTTGTTGCATTTCTGCAAACAGAGGTGGAGATTTGCTCAGAGATAATGGTCTCCTCAATGCTGAGATATACAGTCACAAATTTATTCTGCAGCAGAACAGCAACCACAAACATACAGCGAAAGCCATTAAGAACTATCTTTAGCATAGAGAAGAATAAGAGGTCCTGGAAGTTATGGCATGGCCCCCACAGAGCCACGTGATCAAGTCTGTCTTGGATTACATGAAGTGAGAGAAATAACTGAGGCTGCCTAAATCCACAGAAGAACTGCCAACCTACCTACCCAGTTCCTTCAGAAACTATGTGCAAGTATACCTTGAAGAATTGATGTTATTGTGAAGGCAAATATCACGCCAAATATTTTGTTTTGATTTAGATTGTTCAGTAACACTTTCTATGAAGGTCATCGCTATAATGACTTGTGCATATATTTATAACACGATATAATGCATCCATAAGAAATTATAACAGTTGTTATAATCACTTACAAACATGCATTAGGCGCTATAGCAAAGTTCATAACGTATTATGACCTTTTGATTTAATGTTTTATAACTAATAGTAATACCAGTTTATATCAATGTGCGGCAAGAATCTCCGACCATGTTCCATAACACTTTATAACCACCGACTCTGCGTCATTATGAATACACTTTAGTCACCATTTACAATTGGTGATAAAAAATGAATAATAGCTTATAGTAATGTTTAAAGTTATATAGCATGTCTTTGTTTGCTTTAAGTAAATTGTTAAAATATCTATCCCTGTATAATATAATCCAGGTGGACATAATACCATATGAACTAATTATAAGACCTTATAACACGTAATTGTTTGCTTTAAGTAAAGTGACACACATTTTGCGCAGGAAAACAACTTTTATTTATGTTTTTTCACTTTATGAACAATCTGTATGAATTTTGAACATTTTGCAGTTTAGCGCAAAAACACAACATAATTACATCAAGGACACTCATTCTCAGGGTGGTGAGAGATCACTCAAGAGAAGACCTGATGCCGACCAACATCATGTAAGAAGAGGCTCAGATGTTGTCACAGATGAATGGCGAGCCTGTGGACAGGCCCCAACAGATGCAGTGGACGATTAAAGACAACCACTTCACAAAACGTAGTCTATTAAGACATTTTAAAGTTATTGAATGGGAACACTGTTTGGGCAGTAGGGATGAGAATCTCTTGCCACCTCACGATTCTATTTGATTACAAATCAGAGGGCAGCGATCCATCTTGATGCATTTTTTTTCCTGTGTAAATTCTGGATAATTACTAAGCATTTCGTTTACACATTAAAATCCTAAAGAAATATCTCCTCAATTGCTTAAAAGGACTAGTTTACATCCCTGATTTACTTTAGTAGCCTCAGCTCCTCCGAGGTCACCAGCGTCCTTCCTTTAACAACCAGTTGTCCGACTCCTCTGGACACTGAAATATAATTTAACTTAACTATCAGGAAGTACAGTATGTGTACAGGACACCAGTTAAGCTTCAACCTGCTGTTCTCATTCCTCAACAAGTTAGGTAGTAATGACACACAACTAATTAACATTACTCCGTTACTAATTTAGCTAACGTTACACTGCAGACAAAAGAGATCGCGGGTCTCTGTTATGTGCGCACCTCCGGCTGTCCGGGCGCTGCACTTCCGCAGTTCTGAAGGTTCCGTGAGCATTATAGTATAGTACAGTATAGTTTACTTCTTTGCGATGCGGACGTGGAAGATTCTGAATTGATTTTGAATGAGTGCGAGCGAGCAGCAGAACGTGACGGTGAAAGTTAGCGGAGGAAAATATTTAACTTCGTAAGTTGTCAGTCAGGCAGACGTGCAGTTAGCGCTAGCTAACAGTATCCCCAATTCCCATTTCAATTACGTCTTTTAATAGGCTACGTTTTGTGAAGAGGTTGTCTTTAATCGTCCACTGCATCTGTTGGGGCCTGTCCACAGGCTCGCCATTCATCTGTGACAACATCTGAGCCTCTTCTTACATGATGTTGGTCGGCAACAGGTCTTCTCTTGAGCGATCTCTCACCACCCTGAGAATGAGTGTCCTTGATGTAATTATTTTTGTGCCAAACTGCAAAATGTTCAAAATTCATACAGATTGTTCATAAAGTGAAGAAACATAAATAAAAGTTGTTTTCCTGCGCAAAATGTGTGTCACTTTACTTAAAGTAAACAATTACGTGTTATAAGGTCTTATAATTAGTTCATATGGTATTATGTCCACCAGGAATATATTATACAGGGATAGATATTTTAACAATTTACTTAAAGCAAACAAAGACATGCTATATAACTTTAAGCATTACTATAAGCTATTATTCCATTTTATATCACTAATTTTAAATGGTGACTAAAGTGTATTCATAACGAGGCAGAGTTGGTGGTTATAAAGTGTTATGGAACATGGTCGGAGATTCTTGCCGCACATTGATATAAACTGGTATTACTATTAGTAAAACATTAAATCAAAAGTTCATAATACGTTATGAACTTTGCTATAGCGCCTAATGCATGTTTGTAAGTGATTATAACAACTGTTATAATGTCTTATGGACGCATTATATCGTGTTATAAATATATGCACAAGTCATTATAGCGATGTCCTTCATAGAAAGTGTTAACGATTGTTCTTCTGTTCATTCACTATCATCAATCAACATGTCTAATTTTGAAAGCATTCTTACTCATCAGCATTTTTTCCTTACCTGCCTAAACATTTTGCACAGTACTGTATTTCTGTACCTCAACATGCTGTATTCCTCTTCCTTAGCTTGAATAAACCTTTTTCTTAATCACCTTAGAAATAATCTGGTTCATCCCCTCTGTCATCTGTGTGTTTTCTCTGTCACCTGTGTGTGTGTGTGCGCGCGTGTGTGTGCGTGTGTGTGTGCGTCTTTGTCCCTGTCCTTGACTATTGTAGCGTCCCCACTCACGTGCCACAAACGGTGACTGTTCACACTGCTGTAGCACGCGCCCCTAGCCCTACCAGCACTGTTCTGCCATATAGGTACCTGACCCTGGATATGAATGCTCATGCTGTCGCCGACCTACAGTGTGTGACTAACATGACTGATTTTTACTGAATGCTGCTCATTCACCACAGCATATTGTTATTTTCAGAATGGATGGTGTTCTTACAATTGCGTTTTAAAACACAGGATGTGTTTTTGTAGTGTAAAGTCCTAACAGACGATGTTGGTGCCCTCCTGTGTGATTGGAGGTAATCACATGATTGACCTATTGGAGTACTAAGAAGACTAAAAGGATTTTACTTAATATCATAGTTTGCTTTGTGGTGGGCATAACTCATTGCGTATGCATCAACCTTTTTTTTTGCTCTCTTTTTGTGGATATCATTGTCATTAGATGCACACTGCTCCACAATGCTGCCTGTCATGTAGCATGCCACTTGCTAGCTTGCATGAGCTCCTTCCATGCTTACCAGAAGTCTACCTTTCTCCTTCCTGTTTGTGTCTTGGGTGTCATCCTGCCCTTAGACTGCAGGCATCCTCACAGCAGAGCGCCGCCGCCCGGAAGCAGGCGTGGGAGGCCAGACAAGTGCAGGATACCCAGGAGGTCCAGGGCCCTAAGCCTGTGTCCGCAGTGGAGGGAAAGGACCAGAGCCAGAGTCAAATCCAGGATCAGGAGGAGCCTGACCTCTGCACCCTTAGCCTGGCAGAAAAGATGGCGTTGTTCAACAGACTGTCTCAGCCTCCAACCAGGGTTACCCGCACCAGAGGGGACTCGCGTCAGCGTAGGGCCAACACTCGCTATCAAACACAACCCATCACACTGGAAGATATGGAGCAGGTAGGGGAAGGAACAGGATCATTTGCAGTTTATACTGTTGACTGTTCTGCCTGTATTATACTGGAAGTCTGCATTATTCTAACTCTAACCTTTTTGTTGTTATGAGAACATATTCCTGTTTCCTTAGTTTGTAAGGTTTTAGAAAATGAGATATATTGTTGTTCTGTATATTTTGGCTATAGTGTAATTTTTATGTTGTATACAAATATATAGTTTGAAAGGATTAGCATGATTTTGAGAACTACTGAAGTGACGTGCTGAAGGTACTGCCCTACCACTGTTTATTTGTATGGCTCAGATAAAATCATCATAGAATTTCAACGTATGGCACCTACTATCCTTGATTTAGACGAACCTTTAATGGGAAGAGGGACAAACCTCAGAAAGAGCACCATATAGGCAGTCCCTCTTGGACAGACATGCAATAGTATACAGAAGTAGCACTAGTGAAATTATAATATGGAAAAACAGATATAAAATATTAAGTAATAAGAACTAAAATATTAAGTTTGAAAGAGTCAATGAGTTTCAATTCCTATTCCTGCTAGAATAATACATGAACCAAGCATTGTAGCCTGTGCGTGTTTCTGCTCCAGGAGGCTTCAGACATAGACGTCAGGGATGAACTGGAGCTATGTGACAGCCCAGTAGAGCACCTACAAGTAAGGTTCATCTGAACAATCACCATGCATTTGCCTGAGACAGAGGAGGTTGACACAGTTGGCTCGCTCTTCTCAGAAATTACCGTACATTTCTGTGACCAGCACATGCTGTTATGACATCTCACATTTGGCCCGTGTCCATGTTGGATGATTTTATTATGAATGTACAGTGCATGGCCCGGCTTCTGAGTACTCAGTTCACATCATCCTGCTGTGTCAATGAGGAGGCTGTGTATTTCATCAAGGACTTGAAAGATGCCTGTGGGGTGGAGGAGAAGAGAACAAAAGCACATTAACTCATTCACCACCACTTGGACTGAAAACAGCAAATTTGTGGGGGGGGATTGCATTGCTGGCATGGCTTTGTGATGTGGGCTGCAACTGACGGGTGAGATAGGCTGCCCTTTTGATGCTCAGGAAGTGCAGTGAGTCAGACAGGCGGTGATTAGTCAGCGTGATTCTCTCAGTTTTGTGTGTGTGTGCAGTTTGCCCCACCTGTTTCTCAGCCTCTGTAGGAAACTGACCCACTTTTTCTTTGTCTGTCCCCTCCCTGTTACACAGCTTCATAATGGTACAGGCTCTCGGTTCGGACACATCCATACTTCATCATCCTCTTCTGCTCTGAGAGCAGGAAGTACCGTCTCCACTGACCATGCCGGAGATATCCACATAACCAGAGCAGCAGCCCGGGTTGAACCCCTCCCTACCAGCTCGGGCTCGTCTTTGCCCCCTCGCCACGACCTGGCCTTGATGTCCCAGGACTCTGTGGACCAACAGAGGTCCGGAATCTTTTCCCACAGAGAAGACGGAGCTGATCTGGGAGGAGGGAAGAGGAAGCTGTATTCTCCTGAGGGAGTGGTCAGGCAGGCTGCACTGCCCCAGCCCCAGACTGGAAGAGAGAGGAGTGGGGAGGAGGAGGAAGAGGAGCAGTGGCTAGCCAGAGGGGAGGGTGACAGAGCCATGCAGAGCTCAGAGAGCCACATGGTCCAGGCGAGGCAAGAGGCGTATCTGAGTGAGGAAGGACACTGCCCAGAGAGTCAGAAGAACAGTGCCATTATTGGAGGTAAGAACAGTAGCTAGGGAATTCAAAGGATCAGTTTGAGGTTCTTACTATCTGCTTACTTTTACATTATAGAACTACAACTTTGTTTTTCAAGATGGGTTTTTTTCCCCCCCATTTCCTTCTCTTGCCTGTTAATTTTTTTACTGTGCAGTGTATGTGAAGTGTGAATTTAACTAATTATGTAATTTGAAAGTCATGTTCTGCGTTTCCACAGTTTATACAATATCAGGCTTAGCACGTGGATGGGCAGGGAGATGCTTTCCCAGAATAGAGCCACTTTATCTTACTGCGCCGCAAATATCACTTTGATGAAAGTTGTCCTGAATGACATGTAGCTAGTGACAAAATATTGTGGTAAATAAGTGCCTATTGGAAAAAAAATTATATAAATGTGTTAATGAAAATGTGTTTCTCTTGTCCCCAACAGCGAGCTGATACACACACCGCTGCAGTGCTCTCACAGCCCCGTCTCCTGTCACTCACAGTTCTTTCTTCTCGTCTTATTCGCTCCGTTTGAATTGCGTTTTTTCCCCCGCCCTACTGTGCTGTGATTTGCTAGTACTCGTCACTTGTGATTGGATACTGGCAAAGAAAACAAGGAAGCCCAAATGAAAGTGACGGTACAGAGCGGTGCTAACGAAAGAGCACCTGCAGGACCGACACTCCGTCCTTTATAAAGAACCTGGAGAGGGTGGAGACATCTCCCCTTTCAACATCACTAAAGTATTAAACCCAGTAAACTGTTGTTGATAAGATAGTTGTCCTGTTGTTTGCCTAACAGACACTTATAATTCTCAAATTTAAGCTAAGCCCCTCAAAGCTATCAGACCTGAGGAATTTCAAACAGCACAGTTTCACTTGATAGGAAATACTTTTACCGAGGTCAGAAGTAATTTAACTGAAACTTCATTTACTAAGATAGCTATGTTGATTAAATAATTTAGTAATTAAGGCTCGTGCACGAAAGTGCAAGGAACCTACTGTTTTTACTCAGATTTTTTTTTTCATGGTCTTAGGATACTCGAATCCTCACAAAAATTTGCACACACCTTTGGTCTGGTGGGAAATCCAATGTTCTGCAGTGATTGGGGTTGGCCGTGGCCAGGGGGCTCAATAGCGCCCCTAAACAAACAATAGGTTTTGGACAAAGTTTCTTTGATCTTCATGAGATGTGGTTTGGATTATGGCTCTTATTACAAAGTCCACATTTCTGCTTTTTTAATAATTTTCTCAACAGGAAGTCAGCCATTTTGCGCTTCCTGCGTGATTTTCAATTTTTTAAACAGATATTTGAGGCCTTTAGGATCTCTTGACTTAAAAATAAGCCTCTTGGAGCAAACTAGAGCTTTAACCCGATTGACTTCAAATGTGGGTAGCGCCATCTTAAGAGCCTTGCAATGTTAAATTGCAAAGCTTTTTTTGATTGATCCAACGGTGTGTCCATGGCATGGAGGTGAATTGATGTCTCGCCATGAAAAAGGAAGTCTATGTAAATGGACTAGACATGGTCCGATCTGTCCCAAAATTCACTAGTAAACCTCTTAGAGACTTACTTGTCAATATCCAGTCATAGTGATAGTGCCACTTACTGGCATCTGGAAAGGACACGTTTTAAAATTAATTTCTTATGCCTCTTTCATATTTTTACCCCACTTAGCACCTTGCGGACAAAAATGTCCATAGTGAGGCATTTATGCTCCTCATAACAGGCTGACCACATCCATCTCAAATGCTCTTGCCTTGGTGAGTGATTATTTGCAATTAAACAGGAAGCTGTTTTTTGACAGTTATACCCTCAACTCAACTGGAAGTCAAATTGAATACCTAACTAACACCTCAAATGGTATTGAATATCGATATTTTTCAAGGTATTGTATCAAAGTTAGAAATTCCAGTATCATGACAACACTACATATGTCATTTTCAAACTGTGTGCTCATTAGCAAATTTTAGCAAGCTAACACATGGCTCCCGAAGGCTGTGCCATCAGTGTGTGAGTGTGAATGAATATTTTCTTTCTGATGAGCAGCTGGTACCTTGCATGCTAGCTACTGTCATCAGTGTATAAACATGTAGTGTAAAACACTTGAGTGGTCAGAAGACTAGGAACCTAAAACCTGCTAAATGTTACCATGTTAACATTGTCATAATGTTATCAATTATGTTAGCATTTACAATCTGGTTTTCCATGTAAGCTATTTTATCTACAGAAGAGTACAAAGAATAAGTTGTTACTTTAGTTTTCTTTAACAGAATAGATTTTTTAACATGTGCAAATTAGCAAATTTTTAGTATGCTAAAATGCTAGACTAAAATGGCAGTCATTATACAGTAAGCATTATACCCGCTGAACTTCTCCACGTTAGCATTGTTAATGTGAGCTTGTTATCATGATGATGATAGCATTTAACAAGGAATTTTTAGTTAAGTGGTTGTGGGTTTATTAATAAAATGCAAAGTGATGCTGGATAGAACAGTGAAGCAGGTTTTAAATATTCAAAGAGCCAAAACATAAAGACTAAATAAAGAGCAATAGACTTAATGAACATCGGTGTCAATTTCACTCAACAGTCAACAACCATTTCTCCACCACGGCCATGTGTGCGTCGTCTGTGAAAATGTGACATTCAAACTGTGGTTTCATGTTTTCCAAGCAAAGCACTTTGTCTCTGTACAACTTGTCAGAGAGCACAGAAATCAGTCAGATGATTGTTGTTTTTTTTGTGGAGTGGGAACAGAGTGATAGAGCAGAGCTGATGCACACACGAAAAGCAGGCAGTAGTGTTCCTACAAAATAGCGTGGGTTATTTGATTACAGCTGTGGCTGGAAGGTTTAAAGCTGTGAAAAGTGTTTTTACGCTGCTTCTCACAGGCAGATGAGAGCCTCTTGGTAAGCATGAAAGATGTTTGCTCCCACTATGTTTTGTGATGCTGAGTTTGCACTGTGAGATTAATGACTGTAATTTAATGCAAAACCTATAGTCTTGACATTTTTGGAAGATTGTGTTATTTAAAGTGTTGAATCCTAAACAGGATCTTCTTTTAAGTCTTTTCTAAGCAGATAAATTATGCCATTTTTAAAAATCTAATCCCCCATTGGAAACCGTTGTAACATTTATGTAGTTTGTGTAGTCATGTTATTGATTTTACGCTTTCCTTTGCGTGTGCTTGTCTGCTTCTGCTCACAGAACTGCTAGAGCCCACTGTGGTTGCATCCAGAGCAGCATCTGGTTCGCCCAGGAGTGTGTGTCAGCCTCCAGTGGCAGATACACACATAAATGGCAGTGGACCCCCAGCTGGCCTGGTTCAACCTGAGCATGAAGATGAACTGAACGACATGATGACGGCCAGACACATGTCCATCAAACAGAGGTGAGCCATGTGGTGTGGTCAGCTGTTATTGATGCTAAGCTTACAGTAGTTAGAGTTGTTGTTTTGTGCTTTTTGTGCATGCAGAAATATATTTTTTTGAATGTTTTCTTAGTTCGAACAGTATAAAACCATTTGCAAGTAGGCTTCTGTTTGAACTATTACCTCAATCTAAAAGACATTCAGGTTAGCTTGGTCTAAAATATACTTCTTCTGATCATTTGGCCAGTTAACAAAGCCAACAAAGCTCTGACTGAAGGAAGAGAAGTTTCTCTTTCATTCTTTGCTTGAAATGTGGGTTAAATGGAGATAGAAAATGAAATCATGAGGACAAGACAGAGCAGGGTAGTGGTTTCTTAGAGTTTTTTTTATTTTTAGCCTCTGCAGCTGCCCTGCTGTCCTCCCCAGGCCAGGCCTGGCCAGGATATAGAATGGAATATTAAAGGTATAGTTGTATGAGCTACTTATCCATAGTCCCTGTATAACCTACAGTTTCCCATCGGAAAGTGCTGTCTGACAGCAAGTTAAAGCGATGAAAATAAATAGCGTACACTTCAACTGATTTTTTTAGGTGGTTGAAATACGTTTTGTTGCTGCCCCTATCCACAGCAAGTTCTGTGTTTCTGACCTTGTTTCTTATACACAAGGGAGTAGGAATTTATCATCACGTTACGGATTTTACTCAATATTACTGCAGCTCATTAAATACAACTGATACACAGCATGATCATACAGCCTGTAAAGCAGTCAGTTTTTTTAGATTTTGGTTTTTGGCATATTATTCTTTAAGCAAATGTTTTCATGTTTATAATTTTTATGATATAAAATCATTGCAGTGCACTTAAAATGTACAGTTAATGACGTATCTTTGACTTTGACCTTTAACTGAAGCTCAGTATTGGATTCCCAGACTAATTCAATGATTACATAAGTCTAGTTATGTCACATTGTGTTAACAAGCACACCCTGCTGGTTTGACTGCTAAACACACCAGGCAGCAATCACACTCTAAATTGATTAATGATATAATGGAAGTACATGTAAACTGGGTGTGTGTTGCCTGTTCCAGTCTGCTTGTGTACTCTGTCACATCATACTCACTCTTTTCACTATGTCAAGGCGTCCTTGAGTCTCTCCCATTTTCAAAGGAATTTACTGGAGGCAGGATCTGTATCCCAGATACAGCTTGCGACATCCATTCAGTATTACTTTCATTCTGTTTTCTGGCGGTTGTTGTGGAGCCGCTGGGGCAGAACAGGACTTCCCCTCACTTGGTCACACTGGGGTGGTTGTGAGAGGAGCAGATGGCATTGCCAACACCCTGCATTGTTACACTATAATTCATTTTTTTATCTTATAATCATCCATGTGCTTTATACGTAATCCCAGCTTTCCACAACTCCTCATTTAAAAGACTGTATGTCCAAACAGTGATTTTAAGTTAGTGTTTGTAACATTTGGCTTACCTTTACTTTAGCTAAAATAAATCCTAGCACCTTTTTTTTTGTTGCTTTAACTCCGTGTTTAAGCCAAAGCCTGTCAAATACTCTTCCAGCTCTCTTAGATCTCAAAGTGATATTTATATCTAATTGTCCATTAGCTGTCACCAGTCTGTTTATCTGGAATCCAGAACTTAACCGTATTTCTAACTGTGGCTACTAAGTGGGATGCTCTCTGCTTCTGCTTAGTATCTGCTGTCTTAACTGCAAACAGTATTGTAGATGAGACTAAAGTGCGTGTGGCAACGTCCCTGTTTCTTGTTGCTGTCAATGCTGTGACAGGTTGAGTTAAAAGCTTAGGGGAAGTGCTTACTTTGCAGTAACCTTGTGCAAAGGGCTGTCTGTTATATTGGCTCTATAATACTTACTGCATGTGTGCATTTGTTTCTAAAATGTGTCACTCATTTCTTATTGGCTAAATATTTGTAAAAGTTGAAATTTAATACAAGCTAGTGATCTTAAAGAAATAGTTTGACATTTTGGAATTACCAGCTTTTATTCTGTTAGATTCTGGAGTCTCTGCTGGTTTCATGGCTGTGTCCGAAATCACCCACTACTACTCACTATATAGTGAGGTCGCCATTTTATAGTGCTGTCCAAATGTATAGTGATAATTATTATACTACTATATAGCCCACTCAGTGTATCCCAGAATGCATTTTGAAAAGTAGTGTACAACCGATGGTCACTAAGCAAGCCTTACATACCGTCATGTATTGGGCAATTTCTGCGCTTTTGATAGCTTAAAGATAATTTTTTATGTGCCTCCTTGTTTGCAAATTACATTAAGTTACATTAGCATCACAGTGTTGTAATTAGAAAAAAAATGTAATTGTCCAAGAATTTTTTTTATTTTTATTCCTACTAATTAAATTAGAAATTACATAATTGATAATACCACAAACACTTTTCTGACCTCATCACTAACACAGTCACTTAACATTTCTAGTACTATGACTAGTATTATGATTTATCAAATTTAAGTTTATTGGTTTTGAGTCATGCGAATTAGGTTTCGAGTCAGGTCCAACAATGTCCCTGTAAATCCCAGCATCTCACACTATCTTGCTAAAGCATCTTGTATTTTCACCCCTCATATGAACTTTATTGTAACTTTTTTCCTTCTTCTGCTTACTCTTCCTCCTTCAGAGTGGCCTTGTTGAAGATGAGTGGTGAGCAGGACTGGAGGAACAGGATCAATAAGAAGCAGGATGTGGTGAAGGTTGCTGTGGATGAACAGCATGCTCAGCTCTGGGAGGCGGAGCAGAGCTTCAAGACGAAGGTAACCACCTGATGTGCACACTCAATGCTGACTGAACACATCAACAGACAAGTTTGAGATAGGCAGCCGTCTGCCTGTCGCTGTTATGTTTATCATGTCTGGTACATCGTGTTTTTCATGCGCTTATGACTGTATGCTCCATTAATGTCATCTTTAAAGGATGGCAGAGGGTCCTGTTTGAACTACTTCCTACTTATTAGGAGCATTCAAATTGTGGTTCAAATTCCAATCAAGGCACCTTCAAAGCAAGTTCAAACACACAAACACCTCCAGGGAACTGCTTTTAACTGTCACTGCACCGGTTTATGCCCATGAGACTTGAATGCAGCACTAATACAGTGGCAGTGACATGCTACAAGACTTCAGTAATTTGATTTGATCCACAGTGTCACGATATGCCAGCAAGTATTTCTTCCTGCATCAGCCTCTGAAGTTAGTCTGTTTTGGAGATGTATTTGATCTTTTTTTCCTGACATAACCCTAGAGTCAGGAATGTGAGAAGGATGACAGCCAGCCATTAAATAATCAGTTTTGCAGTAGAATCTGCAAAGGCATATGGTAACAGTTTTGGATATCCCTAAACAGAGAGGTTGTTTATTGTCCCATGTTAATGTCTTTTGATCTCTTTGTCTCTTTCCTCTGTTCTGTCTCATAAACAACAGTTGTGTGTTTTTGTGCTTGGACTGTATCAAGACTTATTCTGCATTTATTTCTGTCATGGCAGTAGCATGGATACTGTTGAATTTGAAGTCACAAGATATTTGTGCAAGATGTTTTCATCCCAATTATATGAAAGTGTGTAGCTGCCAATATTACAATGAAATAATGAAATTAAATTGAAAAGTAGGTTTTCATTCGTGCCTGCATGTTTCATGACAATAAAAACTGTATTATAATTGAACTTTTAAATAAAGAATTATGTTTGAATATATATATATATATATATATATATATATATATATATATATATAATATATATATATATATATATATATATATAAAATAAAATTACGTCCTAAAATTAAAGGTTCTGTACAATAATATATCCGCAAACAACTATTTGCTATGTAAAGATATGGTGGAGTAATGGCGTCCCGAGCAGAGAATCACAGTCATCACACTCCCTCTGTGTGTGTTGTCATCAGAGTTTCTCAGTGTCTTTGTTTGGGTAGCCTGTCTGGCCGCACGTGCATGTTAGGGGATGTGAGTCCCTCGCTGTGGACCTGTTGGCTTTGAGGAGAGCTCTACAATGGCTGTTTCTTTTTTCATGTGATGCTGTGAATTAAGGATTTATTTCGACCAAACCAGAATGGTGATTGTTTGAACAGTGGAAAAACTAACCAAGACGGTTTTGGTCAGTTTTACATTGTTTCCGGTCAGTTTGAATGAAGTGTGTTTATCAATGATCTGTGTGGTAAAATTATTGGGATTCTTTTCAATGGAGTATAGTGGCTAGCGAGAGCGATATAAATGCTGTTTCTGGTTAAACAAAAAGGATCTAACTGTTTAACAAAAAGGTCTATCTCTATATGGATTGTTTCCATAATGTCGTCACATTGCACTTTTAATGCGCATTTGTCCCCAAGGATTATTTTGCAGCCTTTGCAGCCCGTTTTGCGGCTTCCTGCCGAGGCATAGAGGCGGTGAATCAAGAGTTTATATTGACTAAACCAGAGTTGGTGATTGTTGGAACAGTGAAAAGACTAACAAAGATGGTGTTTTGTTTCAGTCCAGTTGGAGTGTGTTTTATGATGATCTTCAAGGTAAAATTATTTAAAATAAGGCTGGTGGGCAGTAGCACTCATTTGTTTTAGTCTGAAAAGGTGGTGCTGAAGTGAAACATTTAGTGGCAGTGAAAGTCTCATACAGCTCCTTTAAAAACAAAATGAAAACTCAATTGAAAAATTATTTGCAGTGTACTTTAACCTAACATTGCCATGATGATTATGAATGTGAAATAGACTTTATATTCAAATTGTCAGTGTGCATCCTAAACTTGCTGCAAGTTGCGTTTCCATATTATTTGTCTTTAGAGATGAGCTAAAATAAGGACATCTTCAAATGCAAAACTCCAGTTGGCGATTTCATTTTCAAGTTGAAGTTGTAATTTGAATATTGTCTGTCAATTTAAAAATGGCAGTTTCTCTTTAAATTTCATTTAATTTATGTCAGTGCTATGCAATGCGCCAGGGCTCAAGTTTTAATCGCAATTTCAAGTTCATCTAAATAAAACTCTTATTGTGCCACATGCTGTTTCGCAATGACTCATTTTGTCTTGTTATAAATCTAGCACACCCTTTCCTTCACAGCAGCTCCCCCCACCGCGGTTATAACTACTACAACTTGCCAGTCACCATTATTAGCTTAAGCCTATGGTATTTACCCTGCATAAATCAGCATTTTTAGCATAAATAGCAACCTTTCCTATACTCATAGCTTAACAATTTATTTATCATTTATGCTTATACTATACCTGGGGGGGGGGTGCTTTACCTGGTCGGTGCTTCTTATAACACATTACCGGATTTATACTTTTCTCACCGTTAGTTTAAGTCACTGCGATTCCCGACAGAACATAATTGTTGAATTTCAGCATTATGTAACGTAACAAGATGTCATCAACTCGGGTTTGAAAAAAATTATTTCATTTTAATATTTGCAGCAATAAACTTCCATGTGTGGCAGTTCAATTTGTGTAGACTAATCTAGATATCTGTTGATTTGTCACAGTTGTTTTGAATGGAGATGATCAAGGTTAGAGAACAGTAAGCTGATTTGAAGGTCTAATTCTGCCTAAATTAAACATCAATTAAAAGTAAAGTCTATTTTTGTCTCAGAGAAAAGTTAATGACTGTGTGCACTGGTTAACTACCTGGTTGTTCTCTAACATCTGTTGTCTTGTGTGGCTTCAACCTTTCTTTCCATTGAACTGCATGTTACATGTAGACTTTTATTCTTCTCTTGGCCTGTGTCTCTGTTTGCATGTTTTTAACCTTTAAAAATAATAAACCTCATTTTATCCTCTGCGTGTTGAGTGTGTTTCTGTGTTGGTATCCTCTGTTTGTTTTTTAAGGGAGGGTTAGGGTGGGACGGTACACATACCTCTCTGTTTAGACATATTCACAACAGCTACCATCCACAGCAGGGCTCTTTTTGTGAGCTCTTAAACTGAGCTTTCAGCGAACATGTCTTTTTTCTCCTGTGGCTGCTTGCCTGTAGGACGATGAAGCACTGATGATAATCGATGAGTTTGCTGTGTCCGACCAGCTATGGGTAAGGCCAGTGTGAAAGGTCACAATCACACACACACACACACTGTAGTGATATTTATCAAGTTCATTTGAACTGGATTGGATAAGAAATCAAAATTTTATATCCATAATTGCATTTTCTGGCTCTTAACACACACACTGTGTGTGTTTGTGGGTGTGTGTGTGTACGTACATTTGGTGGTGGTACTTTGTGTGTGTGTTTCCCTACAAACATGGTGATGGTGTTGGACTCTGTTTCGCTAGTTGGAGCTGTTTCACTTTGCATTTACCGAACCAGGAAGTGAGGCTGTAGGTTAGAATGCTTTCAATGATGCCTCCTAAAAAAGTTGGGCAGAGCTGTGGTGGTCTCCGGAGGTGATAGAGCCGCTGTTGTGCCGCCATGGCCTAGATGTTAATGATTGAGGTCAGCTCGTCCGCCAGGTGCATTCCCAGGAACTTGATGTTACTGACCCTCTCCACAGTGGCCCCATCGATGGTCAGTGGCATATGATTGGTGCCTGCCAGACTTCCTGAGCATCCTATATGCTGATTCCTCATTATTACTAAGAAAACCCACTACTGTTGCATCATGTGCAAACTTGATGATGTGGTTGGTATTATACCTGGCAGTACAGTCATGGGTTAGCAGGGTGAACAACAGAGTGATCAGGGAACAGCCCTGGGGGTGAGCATGTGCTCACAAAGATGGATTTTGATGTGTGGCTACCAACCTTGACCAACCCTGTCTGCTGCCTCTGCATCAGGAAGTTAAGGACCCAGCTACAGGTGCCTGTGTTCACATCCAGCAACCTCAGATATTCCACATGATGGATTTTATTACTATGTATTATGATTTAAGGTGTCATTTGTGGTGACATCCTCACAGAGAATTATCACCCAACTCTGCAGTTTAAAAAAAAAACAACTGTATGGTACCTGCACAGCACTAAACAGACAATATTAGCTACTAGCTGGTGATCATAGTGGAGCATTTAACCACTCAAGAGATACATACAGTATTTCCCCTCTGGAGTTGATGGAACCCACAGTAAAAGAAGAGTGAATATGTCTGGTGGCCACATATCTCCTAATGGCTGCTAATGTTTATGGGTATGTAAAGTAGGCACTTTCTTGCATGTTCGCCATAACTACTTAAAGGTGGTGTATGCGATTCTCATCCAATACATGTCTTTTTTCATATTCAGCAATCTCCTCATGGTCCACTAGCTTTCCATTCTGTGTGCGCAGGAAAAAAATCCAGTGTCTTTACTTTGCCCTGGCTCTGTAAACAAAGTGCCCTTCACGCACAACACTGTTCCAGCCATTCAAGCCATAGTTTGTGGATTAGGCAAAGTTAAATGACTTCCCCTTGGACATTCAGCTTACTTTCTAGTTCACCAAGACATGCTGCTGTTCTGATGTTAGCTATAGCAGCAGGAGAGTTGTGAGTTTCGCTGTCTGGAGCTGGTGTGCTGGCTCTGGGACCGTCTTGTCCTTTCTGCATGTTGGCTTCGCAACAGAAACTGTAACTGCAGTTTGCTAAACCACAACTTAGCTGACGCTAGTTACATTACTTGCTGTGTTGTTCACTCTATGTCATGGTATTTGTCATGGTGTTGGATTTATCCAGAATAGCTTACCACACCTTAAATAAATTGATATTATGTCAGTGTTGTGTTTACAGCTGGTTGCGCTGCAGCCCAGACGATTTAATCAATATTGGTTTAAAGTAAAATACATTTTGTATTCTCTCCCCAAATTACACACCTGGCAAGGCAAAGAAGGCTTTCAACAACATATGAATCATAATGAAACCATTATGTGAGGTAATACATGGAAATGGAGTTTGAACGGTGAAAGTTAAGTATTGCACTTCTATAAATTTGGGGAACTTGCAAGAGAATGGGTAAAGGGCCGAGATATCCTGACTTTTTGTTCCTAGTATGGTTTGTGGGGTTCTTAGGGAGAATTTGTGCTCCATGACCTCTGTATTTCTAAAATCCTTGCTACAGACTACTGCTATACTCCTGATGAATGTGTGTTTGTGTTTATTTCCCCTTTCCATTGCCTTGCCTCTGTAGGAGCCAGTCTTTCCCTCGACTTTCTCTCCTCCTCCTGAGCCTCCTTTTACTTCTTCCCCTGACGTTTCAGCGAGCCAGGTAGGAAGTTGAATAAGCCTTTTCTGCATGCATTGCTTGTCCACTTCCTCGCCTACTTCGCTAAGCTCTGAAATCCATACGCAAACCGCAAACCTGTTTTAAAGAGGTCATATTATGCTTTGTGGCTTTTTCCCTCTCCTTCCTTGAATTATAAATCTTTTTTGTGCATGTAATAGGTTTGCAAAGTGAAAAAGCCCAAAGGGAGTTCCCATCTCCCACAGAAAACACTGCTCTGAACTGCCTGAAAACAGTCCAGCCTTTTCCCTTTGATTCCTGTGATGTCACAGCAAAATCCACGTCATAATGCTCGCCTAGCAGCTAGTCCGACACGCCCTCAAAAACACCAGTGAAAAAACACATTTAGCTGGAGCACACAGTGACAAGACGTTTGCCTGCTGCCTCTCCTCTCCCACCCAAACACTAGCGACCCTCCAGGCAGTCAATGGACATAAAGTAGTTACTGTGATGTAGAGGCAGAGCTCAGTTAAAACTTTATAGATCAATGATACATTTGTTACAGATAAATAACTCTAAACTCTGAATCTCTTGCTCCAGTCCATGTTGCTAAGCTGGAAAGGGGATATACAGCTGAACCAAAGCAGTGTTTACTGGCTTCTCACTGACCCGCCCTACTCTGCCCCTGGTTTGCTAGTAGTCCTTAACTAGGTACTGCACATGTGCAACTCCCAACAAAGATCTTATAGAGGCAAGAGGTATCACTCCATAGCTAAAATGGAGCCTTCAACACAGGGTGAAAAGAAGAGCTGCAGCAATGTGCAGTGTGACAAAAAATATGGTGTTTTTTGAAAATCAAACCATGTAAACCTGTTCTGGTACAACCCCTAAATAAGATTTTGACCTCTTTAACTTTAGCAACTCCATTATTCAGTTTGCGCTAATTTCAGAACATCTGTTATATACCTCATGCAGAGAGTAAGGCTTTCTGAAGTGTACTTGTGTGGTTATTTGCCACTGCATTCTTTCACATTACAAACCATTTCACCTCCGAACTGCACTGTCAAGTCTTACTGCTCTGTCAGCTGCAACTGTGCTGGGAAAACAATTATGGCAGGTGCACATTATGATCAGGAGTTCTCTGCAGTCCTTCACAGCCGCTTTGCTAATGTTTTACATCACTAAAGATTTATTCCTGTCGCAAAGCTTTGTCCCTTTGCCCATGAATCAGCATGGCAGCCCCCTCAGCTTCTGATGCTTGTGCAGAACTTGGACATTTTCTACCATCTTTTCATCCATATCTCTTAATCCTCATTCTCTCTTACCTTTCCTTCCATCCCTCTGGTTGTGAAGGCCACCAGATCTCCCAGACCCATGCAGGTGGATGAGAGACACCCCTGGAGACGGAAGGTGACCCTATCTGTATACAGTGCTCTTGCAAATTCCCCAACTCCCCATCCCCGGTGGCAGTCTTTCACACAAACACACGTACACAGTCAAAGCAACTGTATTGTGCTCAAGACATTGTCTGCGATTGTTCTTTGTTTTCACTTTGTTAACTAACATTCTTTCATTTTAACTTGGGGAAGTGACACTAACGCAAAAGGAAGACAATCAATAGTTTTCCTTTTTTATGTTTGTAAACCGTTTGTTTTCAGCGTGAGGCAGGGATTAATGTGCTTCCTGTGTATTAGATACCTTCCTTTGGTGTCCTTGTTTTGCTTGGCCACTTTGCCTACGTTTTCCTTGCTGTTAAAGGAAAATTCCACACTTTATCATTGTTAAGAGCAACCAATAGCAGTGAAACTAAGATGCAGTCCTGTTTTCATTGTTTTTGGTGGTATTTTTTATTTTTGCTGTAGTGTGATCACATATTTCCAAAGATGCTATAATGGAGCTTGATAGCTAATAAAGTACTTTTTTTACTCATTCTATCCAAGTGCCCAAATCACTCTAGGAAAAATTCTAACAAAAAGTACTGTTGTGGATACATTTTGATTTAAAAGTGGACACAAGATAAAAATTGCATCACCTTCTCACAAAATGGTTCCTGGAATGCATCAAACATCACAAACTATGATATAATATGGTACATGTGCCATAAAGTGGATTATTCCTTTAACTTTCAATCCGCCCAATATTCATTACAACTGACAGTACCTTCTTTCCCTTCCCTTCTCTCTTTTCTTAGAGAATAGCTGAGGCTGAGATGGAGTGTCAGGGGATCGAGTGTCACATGTCTATCCAGGAGAGGAAACAGCTGATAGTAGCACAAGAGGAGTCCTGGAAAATGAAAGGCCACGGAGCCGCCAATGACTCCACCCAGTTCACTGTGGCTGCACGCATGGTGAAGAAAGGTCAGAGGGCATCATTGTGATGTGAAAGTGAACACACACACTTTTCTTACAGTCCTCTTTCTCCATTTCACAGAAAGCATATGCGCACATGCTGAATTACACCACAGAGACTTGAGTCCACAGTTCAGTCTCAGCTCTCCTTTTCCCTTCAGCAGACTAGGACACACCAGGCCAGAGGAGCTGCTGAGAGTACTCTGCTCAGGCGGAAAATTTTATTGTTGGAGTTGTTGCCTATTAATTCTGGGCTTGGCCAGACGGGGCCCATGATGGAAGGTTGAATTTGTGTTTTTGGTGAAGTCAGTGAGTTTGGCCAGATGTTTGGCACGTTAGACAGTCCTCTCTTGCTTTTATAGCCTTTGAGGCAAGTGTTGATGGCACTAGTTCCAGTGATTGTTAACAACATGTTTATTACTAGCTGCATAACTGCAACATGACGGGACCTTTGCCACTGCTGTATTCTACACTGCTTGTTTTCTGTCAAGCATATAACACCCACTCCTGTTGTTATCGATGTAAGCCCATAAACCGACGTCAAGACACACCACTAGCGTATTTCCCAGTGTTGATGAACAGCAAAAAAGCGCACTATATAACTGTCATTGAAAAATGAGTAAAATTATATATAGCAAAGGGAAAATGTAGACGAGCTTGTTAATCAACCTGCTGCATTTCTTTATTCTGTTCCTTTGTTCAGTTTTGCTAATTGTGATCAATGCAACATGTTCAAACGTAAAGATGAGAGGGGTCCATCTCAGCTAACTGTGTTTACTCCTCTACATTAGTTGGCCATTAGCAAAGTGTTAGTGTCTTCAAGAAAGCCTAGTAACAGTACCTGACCTGCTCTCTGGTGTAAATTGAACCAATGTTTAACATCACAATCTGTGTCTTAACCTATGGAGTGAAACTAGAACCATGTCATGCTTTTTGGTTCATTGTTGATGCCCGTCATACAACAGGGCTGGCCTCACCCTCAGCCCTCCAGTGTCCAGTGTCCTCCAAACCCAAGAACAGCAGCCTTGCCATCTCCAAACCACAGGAAGGTCAGTTTAACTTTAACTAACTATTCCTCTGTTTCTACTTTTCGTAGTTCTTCTCTGCGTTTCACTACACTCTGCTAACCTCTGATTGCTTGTTATGTCCCACTGCTTTCAAGTGGAGCCGTAAAGTTCATTTAGCTGAGTTAATAAAGACTGCAGGGCTCAGCTTTCTGCTGCAATCTGATTTAGACGTAATGACATGACTTTGTTACATTCTCAATTGTCAGCAGACAGTTTCCAAAACATATTAGGCATACAGTTAATTCACAGAAATGTTGTCTTAAACGTAGGTGGATTCCTGTTTAATATGATTTCTAATGCTGACAAATTGACAGTGAAATTATCAGATCTCATTTGAACACAGTGTAATTCATTATCTTTGCTTCTCTTTCAAAAGACATGGAGGAGGTTTCTGATATTGAAGGTGTATTCCTTTCTCCTTTTGGTGTTAACACTGAATGCAATGTTCATCATCATCACCAAAACCACAAATATCATCTACAGTAATGTGGCTGATGTTGCTGTGAGACTTCTATTAGGCTATGAAAGCTTAATAGAATATAAATCTTGAGATAGTGTTCCCATGAAAATGCATGAGTCTGAAGTGTAGAAGAATTCATATTTTGTGGCGTTTTACTTTTGTTAAAATGCCTGTGGCCGTCAGTAAATATGTTCAAATCAGCTTCATTCTGACTGTATGCAACTGGTCAGTTATTGTTCAGAGTCAACCACAAACTGCCTGCCTGTTCACAGATGGGATTGTGCATAAAGTCAAACGGAGTAAGGTTATGCCTCTAACAGCTGTGTGTGTGTATGTGTGCAGAAATCAAAGCCATACCAGATCTGAATCTGGAGTCAGACATGAAGCTGGATAAACTGGAGTCATTCCTTGGCAAGCTCAACAGTAAAGGTCAGTCTCCTTCTGCACACTGTCTAGAAGTCACTGAGTCTTAAATATAGTCTCTGAAAAATAGTCCCACATTATAACAATACAATCAGTTTTAGATACTATCCAATTTTATGTATAATTTAGACCAAAATTAAGTAATTAAATGATGTATTCTCTGTGTAGTTTTTGTGTTTCTGTGTAGTATTTGTGTTGCTTTTTTCCAGGCAAATATTGCATGCATTTAGTATTTTCCATATTATGGACTATGAATATAAATCAACCAGGATTAAAATCTTATGGACTCCAGACTTTAGATTTCGTGACACCTGTGGTTACTGGTGGTATCAGCAGATGAACCTTGTTACGTGAATGTTATGGCAATTTAACATGTCTGTCTCATATTTGAATAAGTGCCTCTTCTACGTAAAAGTCCAAAAAAGAAATCTTACTGGTCAGACCTAGACCTCAAAAACAAGTTAATGGCTAGTTAAATTTACACAAAGCAGTGGATATGATTCTCCTCTCTGTTGACTGACAGGTTGCCATGGTAGTAATCAGTAATCAAGGTATTAGAAACAATGTAGGTTTAAGTCACTTCCACTTTGGCTTCACTTTTCAGACTTGAAGGCTACAGCTTAGATTCAACAGCAATATAAGTTTTAAAACCCATCAGTGACAGAGCAGCAAAACCAGGTGGCTCACACAACACTACAGAGCTGTGTCCAGTGAAATCCAGGCGTTAGCATAAACTATGACGGCAACATTGCTGGTTAAATTCCTGTCATACCTCTACTTACCACTTTCTAAAAAATAAATAATAAAAAATAGATGGATAAATAAAATACTTTAATGAAAAATATACTATACAGAAAAAAGAAACAAAAGAAGATCTTCTTTTTGTTTACGGTGCTGCCAAACACAATGTGGACTTCAGGCCCACATTAAATGCGCCCATTCACCAGCTTTTGTCTTCAACATCATGTTCAGTGCATTATCAATTCCTGTGAATCCTTTGTATGTTTGTTGGCAATTTTAGTTATGTACATTACATTGTAACATTGAAATAGACCATTTATATTGGCAAAACATTTTTGAAATGCGGTGTCATATGTATTTGGAGGATTATAATTGTAAACTGTCATTATGCCACCATAGAAGTAAGACATTTACTAGCTTAGTCATAATTCCAAGTTACAATGTAAGTTTATAAATGAATAATAAATAGGCACATCTTAATACTTTTATTAGCAAGTCATTATCCCAGTGATGCTTGCACAGGCTTTAGCAAATCATCTGTAGTAGTAACTTTGTTGAATTCTGGATATTGTATGGTCCTGACGCAGCCTTGTCTTGTCTATCCTCAGTGTCCGGACTGCCAGAAGCGACCATCACAGTTACAGAGAAGAAGGTGAAGGAAGTGATGAACCTTGAAGATGAAACTTTTACCAAGTTCTACCGCCAAGTTGAGGAGCTCCCCGTCTCTACAAACAGGATGGAGATAGAGGACGACTTTGATGCCATCTTTGGTCCACAGGTGCCAAAGTAAGCGCTCACTGCCAAGGTCATATTGTAGTAAGAACTCTGATTAAAACATTACTGTGAGATCTTTTCTCTGTTGACCCTGCCTCTTCACTGTTGACCTGTCCCCAGGCTGACCTCTGAGATGGTGCAGCACAAGCGAGCGGTGCGTCCGGCGCGTAACGTCCAGTCATCAAGGAACCCTCTGAAGATCCTGGCTGCCAGGGAGGACATCAGACATGAATACACAGAGGAGAGGCTCAACATTGGCCTGCTGGAGAGCAAGAGGATGAAGGCTGAGAAGTGTGAGTGAGAATGGATGAGAAGCTGGAAAATGCAAGGCCAAAACACTCAGGGATGCAACGTGAGAGGCTACTGTGTTAAATAACTTTATTCATTATTAAATTTAATTCTTGATGTTCCACAATTGTACGTTACAAAACATTTCAATTTCTTTAATTTGGTAGAGTTTGTACAAGGCACCAAATTGTCAGACTGTGCTGTGTTGTGAAAAGCTGTTAAACACGTGTCATAGATGTGTCACTGCAGAAAAACATTTACAAACCAGTTGTAATCGTTATATTAAATATCTGCTTTTGTCTTGTCCTTTATAATATTGGCAAAAGACAATGAATTCACCTATTGACATCCAGTGCAATATAAAAGGGAGCAGAATATACAAATACAAATGAAAGAGTCCCTGATATTGTACAGTTAATGAATTGTCTCTCTAGCTATTGCGTTTTTAAGCTGTACGTAGTCTGCAGCTTGTTTTGAGAGTGGTGTTGAATGATGGTGAAAACCCACAAAGTCATCGTCACAATACTCCCATAACTTCTACCGTCATCTACTCTGACAGCAATAAAAACTCTTAAACTATCCAGAGTGTTCCATATTTGTTGCAGTCCTATAAAGACCTTCAGTGCCGGGTTTGAAAGGTCATTTAGCCGTTGTCTCATCGGTGTATAGGGGCTAAATGTGATGATTGAATGTTGTGTGTTATGTCTGTTTCTTTGTGTCTCATGCCCCTTCTCTGCTCTCTGTTCTGTTCCCTGCAGTGAATAAGAACTCTGGCTTCTCTGATGTGGCTCTGGCTGGTCTGGCCAGCAAGGAGAACTTCAGCAACATCAACCTGCGCAGCGTCAACATCTCCGAGCAGATGTCCAACAATAGCGCCGTGCCTTACAAGAAACTGATGCTGTTACAGGTCAAAGGTCAGTTGACCTGATCATCAAATTTTTTTATTTCATCCTATATTTAGTTTCCTGCAACATACTTCTAGTAATAACACATAAAAACATTTTGTGGGAAGTCCAGATAAAAGAAACTAATAAATGTAAAATCTTCTTTTTTGTGTTCAGTTATGCTGTTCAATAGCGTCACACTTTTGGCCCTGTTGTGGGTTGAGTTAGTTTCTTCTGAGCCATCAGTAGGCTAGTTGCAGTGTGAAGATGCCCATTGTATCACCTGCTTCTTGTCTCTGCCGTGGGAAACAAGACTAAAGTTCTACAGCTATGCTAGCAGCCCTGTGAGGCTGTACGTAGGCAAAACGAAGTGGTGGCACTGCTAACCTGCTGACGTTTGTTTACCGTCACTAATATTAGCATGCTAATATTCGACTATTAGCAATAAGTGCAGCTCCGGCTCATGGAAATGTCATTACTATTGCAGGTATTTGGTTGTAGACAAATGTATTGGACAAATATAAAATTTGACCTGATGATGTCGCGAGAGTAAAGGTGTCATCTAGTGCACATGTGCCAAACTCGAGGCCGGCGGGCCATTTACGTCATTTTATGTAGCCCGCGAAAGCTTTAAAGATTCATAATTGTCCTGATTTTAATGTGACCTCCCCCCTCCCGTTTCTGTATTTATAAGAGAAATAAGGACTAGCCTGATATAATAGCTGCATAATGACAAGACATCAAACTACTGTCATATTCTTTAATTATAATAAAAATATCCTGCTCAGAACTGCTGCTTCATAACATCATCCTATTAATGTGACTTAATCTCAGATGTTTAACGAAGTTTGTAGTATTTCACTGTCTTTGCACACACATCACACAGAGCAACATTATTACCTTCACAGCTAAAATACAGCCAGACCTGACTGTTTTTACAGTCAGCCAGAGTCAGTATTCAGTCACGGGAAATGTAAAGGGCTGCAGCGGCTCACGTCAAAGAAGCTCCATCACAGAGTCGTAGCGCAAGCATGACTTTGACAGGCAGAAGGGAAAGTGGTTCCTATCAACTGAGTATAATTAGACCTTCCTGGTGACCGTAAGATACTTATAATAAAACACACACTCACTCCAAATGACTGAGTTTAGATATCGATCCTTTTATGAGTATCGATCCTAGAGCAGGAAACGTTGGTATCAGAAATATCGATACTTTAGAATCAATCCGCACACCCACTACGGTAGTTTTCCGACAAGTGAAGATGAGAAATGTATACAAACAATCCCTAAATGTCCAAGACGAGACAAATTGATGCAGAAGGAAGGCAATTTCATGAATGGTGGGAAAGTGAATACATGTTTGTGCTTCAAGGAGAAAAACCGGTAGGCTAGGCCTATGTCTTTTGTGTTATGAGGCAGTATCAGTGATGAAGGATCAACGTTAGTTAAGGCTCGTGCAGACTACATGACTTTCAGCGTCGACCGATGGCCGTGCTGTTCACACTGCACAACTCTTGAAGTCTAGTGGCTGATCGGTGACAGGGGATCACAGACTAAAGTTACAAGAGCTGACAGTGACTCTGTTACCCGATGCTGGTCTCCAAACCAGTTTTGTCAAGAAAACACATGTGAAATGTGAAACTGGAAATGTTGAGTAGTTCGCACATAACGACTGGCGACCGCAGATCAACCGCTGATTTACTCCCAATCGCAGCCTGACGGTCGCCGAGCTCGAGAGGCAAATAGGACTGAAAATCGTGTGGTGTGAAGTAGGCTTAGGCTCCAGTAGCCTACAGGTGCTGGTCATATAATTAGAATATCATCAAAAAGTTGATTTATTTCAGTAATTATATTCATTCATTACACACAGACTGATATATTTCAAATGTTTATTTCATTTAATTGTGATGATTAAAACTGACAACTAATGAAAATCCCAAATTCAGTATCTCTGAAAATAAGAATATTACTTAAGACCAATACAAAAAAAGGATTGTTAGAAATGTTGGCCAACTGAAAAGTATGAACATGAAAAGTATGAGCATGTACAGCACTCAATACTTAGTTGGGGCTCCTTTTGCCTGAATTACTGCAGCAATGCGGCGTGGCATGGAGTCGATCAGTCTGTGGCACTGCTCAGGTGTTCTGAGAGCCCAGGTTGCTCTGATAGTGGCCTTCAGCTCTTCTATATTGTTGGGTCTGGCGTATCGCATCTTCCTCTTCACCATACCCCATAGATTTTCTATAGGGTTAAGGTCAGGCGAGTTTGGTGGCCAATTAAGAACAGGGATACCATGTTCCTTAAACCAGGTACTGGTAGCTTTGGCACTGTGTATAGGTGCCAAGTCCTGTTGGAAAATGAAATCTTCATCTCCATAAAGTTGGTCAGCAGCAGCAAGCATGAAGTGTTCTAAAACTTCCTGGTAGACGGCCGCGTTGACCTTGGACCTCAGAAAACACAGTGGACCAACACCAGCAGATGACATGGCACCCCAAACCATCACTGACTGTGGAAACTTTACACTGGACTTCAAGCAACGTGGATTCTGTGCCTCTCCTCTGTTCCTCCAGACTCTGGGACCTTGATTTCCAAAGGAAATGCAAAATTTACTTTCATCAGAGAACATAACTTTGGACCACTCAGCAGCAGTCCAGTCCTTTTTGTCTATAGCCCAGGCGAGACGCTTCTGACGCTGTGTCAAGAGTGGCTTGACACAAGGAAAGCGACAGCTGAAACCCATGTCTTGCACACGTCTGTGCGTGGTGGTTCTTGAAGCACTGACTCCAGCTGCAGTCCACTCTTTGCGAATCTCCCCCACATTTTTGAATAGGGTTTGTTTCACAATCCTCTCCAGGGTGCGGTTATCCCTAATGCTTGTACACTTTTTTCTACCGCATCTTTTCCTTCCCTTCGCCTCTCTATTAATGTGCTTGGACACAGAGCTCTGTGAACAGCCAGCCTCTTTAGCAATGACCTTTTGTGTTTTGCCCTCCTTGTGCAAGGAGAAAATGGTCGTCTTTTGGACAGCTATCAAGTCAGCAGTCTTCCCCATGATTGTGTAGCCTACAGAACTAGACTGAGAGACCATTTAAAGGCCTATGCAGGTTTTTTGAGTTAATTAGCTGATGAGAGTGTGGCACCAGGTGTCTTCAATATTGAACCTTTTCACAATATTCTAATTTTCTGAGATACTGATTTTGGGGTTTTCATTAGTTGATAGTTATAATCATCTAAATTAAAAGGAATGAACACTTGAAATATATCAGTCTGTGTGGAATGAATGTATACATTACACAAGTTTCACTTTTTGAATGGAATTACTGAAATAAATCAACTTTTTGATGATGATCTAATTATTTTTCATTTTTCCAGGTAATCAAACTATCTGTCATTAGTTGGATGTATGTCCTCTGCAAAGCTGTGTGCAGCTGGACTATTTGTTTTATCAAATGCCACATCTGTCCCTCATGTTATTAGCAGCTCACAATTATTTGTTTTACCATTCTGCACCTCTGGACTGTGAAAAAGTGAAAATTTACTGTAAAAGCTTTTGTTTGATGATATTTGTCTTTGTTATTTACTTGAAATGTTTGATCTTTGATTGATGGAGTAATGAGGGTTTTTAAATCTGATAAACTCATTTATTTATGTTATAATAACACAGAGAAAATTTCTTACTAAGGCTATATTTTTACATCTGATAAATGTCCTTAACATGAATACATAATCAAATAAAGAGACGGTTATTTAACAATATGTTAAGGAGTTACGTTTATACAGTCTTACAGTTGTAGCTGGCCCTTTGAGGATAACCGTAATGCTTATGTGGCCCTTGGTGAAAATGAGTTTGATACCCTTGATCTAGTGCATTGCCATTTCTAGAGCAACACCACTAGCTTGGCTAATAGTAATAAAAAGAACTGTCCAATATTCAGAGTTCATTCATTACACAAAATAAGAAGTTAAATGAAGTTGGGGTTTTTTGCTCCCAACCCGGTCAGACTGCACCCTTGATGCCTAACTCCTGGATGTTGGGCATCAACCCTTAACTAACAAATGCAGGGGCTTAAGTTCTGTCTGGTGGGTAACTAATGAGGATTTATCCTGTGAGGGCACAGAGGCCATCATTCCGAAATACAACCCTTACAAAAGTTGAGTTAAAATTGAGGGCAGCCTTCTTGAATAGACAGGGTGCAGCTTGTTTACTTCACAACCAAGTCAGCCAAACAGACAGGGATAAAAACTTCAGTCTACATTTTCCAAATCTTTTAAATGGGTTTGTTTGTTTTGTGGAGACATGTGAAAAATAGAGACAATGAGACAGCATCTTTACCAGCAGACACATTGAGTTTAAGAAGAAGGAAAAACAAATAGCTACCATTTGGAGGATGCTGCTTCAAGGGTGTCTAAATCCCGAAAGGATTTCTAAAATGGGAGACGAGAGCTGGTCTATTTCGGTGTCTTTGCACCTCATCCTCACGTCTAGTGGTGACAGCTGTGGCTCTAAATCATTCTCCTCAGGTCGCCTCATACTATCCTGGGCTGATCCTCTCTTCCAAACCCCACTGTCTGTGATCCAGAGTAAATCCACTACACAAGGGGTACTACTAAGTTAGGAGGTTTTCTATCCCAACCTCACTGTGTTGAGATTGGTGCTTTAAAATAGCTTCTGCTGGTTTCTGTTTAGAGCCAATGGGTCGTGATCACTGAGGCCCCGAAAACCCTAGTTTGTATATTGACAAATTTATGATTGAATGTAAATTGCATTCTGTCCTAGCTGCATTAATTAGTTGGAAACAGAGGTATTTAATAAGAAGGAGTGGTTACTCGACAAAGCAGGTACGTGTACATACATGTACAGGATCAAATGGTGATGGCTGGCACATTGTCACCCCAACACCCCTAGTATGATGAAACAGGCATGCTGACAATGATAATCAGACCTTTCACTTATAAGCCACCTGTCTGTGTGTTTTTGTAACACCAGGCCGAAGACACGTCCAGACCAGGCTGGTGGAGCCCAGAGCATCCTCCCTGAACAGCGGCGATTGTTTCCTACTCATCACGCCACACCACTGCTTCATCTGGATCGGAGAGTTTGCCAATGTCATCGAGAAGAACAAGGTGTGTCTGGCCTCTGAATGCTGCAAAATGACAGACCGTTTTTTTGGGTAGACTTGAGTTTCAGTCATATTGACACAGGTGGCATATGGGTGCTGTTATGTAGGGCAGGCACCACATGCAGGATGTAAATACAGCCCTGGGTGGAAGCAATGGTGGCACAGCACAGGAAGAAGTGTGTGTTGAAAGTCAGGAAAGGGGTGTATGTGTATGTGTCCCTGGGTTGTTGCTGGAAATGGACACAAAACAAGGCTATTTTGTTCAAAGCCTAGACTGGTCAGAAGACCAGAGCAGAGTACTGACCTCAGTCGGACAAAAAGGAAAGCTCTGAGCCATGGCCCAGATTATCTATAAGGGGTTGTTTGAGTTTGGTTCATTCAAGTTTTTCTCTTCTTTTTGTTTTAGAGATCCTGAGTAATGAACTTGAGTAATGGGTTCTAATATAGTGCATGTTTTTCTCCGTCATTTTCAGGCTTCAGAGTTAGCAAATTTCATCCAGAGTAAGAGAGATTTGGGTTGCCGTGCTAACTATGTCCAGGTCATCGAGGAGGGCATCAGCGCACACAGCCATGCTGCCAAGGATTTCTGGAAGATCCTGGGAGGGCAGTTGAGTTTTCAGTGTAAGAATGTCTATCTGAGATAAACCCAGCCTTGAGGAAACAGTCCCTGAAACAATGAAATGCAAGCTGATGCCCTTATCTTACTTCTTGTAGCTGCAGGAACACCTGATGAAGACGAGCTGTACGAGGGTGCCATTGTGGAAACAAACTGTATTTATCGCCTGGTGGATGACAAACTGGTTCCGGATGATGATTTTTGGGCAAAGATGCCCCGTTGTTCCCTGCTCAACCCCAAAGAGGTCAGACAACCTGATACTTATCTTGAATAAATTAAGCTGTAAATCATCCAGTGTTTTTACACCAGTATTGAAAGCCACTATGTCAAGGAGTTTATTTTATTTTTTTTTTTTTTACGTTGGCTCCACCCATTGGCAATATAGAAAATGACGGCAGACAGCAATGCTCGGCAGTACTGTCAGGTTAGAAAAATAATGTCTCTATCTGTATATCTATGCAGGTTTTGGTGTTTGACTTTGGCAGCGAGATGTACATATGGCATGGGAAAGAAGTGACACTGGCACAGAGGAAAGTGGCCTTCCAGCTGGCCAAGCACCTATGGAATGGCACCTTCGACTACACAAACTGTGACATCAACCCGCTCGACCCAGGAGAGTGCAACCCAGTCATACCCAGGTATGGAAACATATACTACCGTACTGTAAATTAAAACCAAAACTGTTCGTTATATATTTGTTTGTTGTGAGTTTGTTATATTTGCAAATTGTGTACCCTACTAAGCTGCAAAAATAAGTCTGAATTTAGTGTTCCAATCTCACTTGATGTCTCCAAATGCTCTTAATATTTGTCATTCATGAGTGAATGCAACAGATGAGTGTTACTACTACAACAAGGGACGCACGATAATATGAGCACGCCCTCAGTATCGGCCGGTAAAAGCTTCAAAATGAAATATGTGTATTAATCCGAAATAAACATTTCTGCTGACATGACAGGCCGATAAGATGGCGCTTTAATTATGTGCAAGCAATGCAAGTACACTATGTCTGCAGTGTGAAAGGCTTTTTTGTGTCCAAAACAGATAGCAAAGTTGTTCTTTGTAATTATTGCTGAGCGTCAGTCATGCGTGGAGGAGCCAAACCGCATTCCTTCAGTACTACAAATATAATTGCCCACCTTAAGAGTCATCATCCTGATCATTATTCTGAATTTGTGAAGAACAAAGAGAAACAGGCACCAGCGAATAAAACTTGTCAGCAGTAGTTTTCTTATTTAGCCCAGTTAATGTGTACATTTTGAAAAGCATTGTATTTTATGTCCACTTCAGACAGTTTTGATGTTCTATTAGTTGAGAAATGTGCGTATATCAGTCTCTGCATCTGCATCTGCAATAGGCCTAAATAAATTGGAGTGAGAAAATATTAGATATCTGCAAAAATTCAATATTGTGCATCCCTAACCACAATGGGGTATTGAGAATATTTTCAGTGACACAGGTATGGCATGATGTCAGTGATGTACTGTATCCTCTTCACCTGTAGGAAAGGTCAGGGCCGACCTGACTGGGCAGTGTTCGGCAGACTGACTCAACACAATGAAACCACCCTGTTCAAAGAGAAGTTCCTGGACTGGAGCGATTCCAGGAAAACACCCAGTCCCATAAAAAACACCAACTACCATATCACTGATCAAAAGGTATCAAAAAATTACTTCAATTCATAAAAGTCTTATTACTGTAATCAGTGTGAAACAGGGGATAATATACAGTAGGAAAAGCAGATTCTGCCATTCCTCTTATTTCTGCCTTTCTAATCTTCACCCTAGGAGCAGTCCACCTCTGATCAGTCCCATTCGTACGATGCCTCCCTGATGCTGCCCCTCCATGAGGGGCCCATCTGCACCAGACTGGATGGGTTCAATGTGGGGAGGGGCTACGGCCTGGTGGAGGGAGAGGAGTGGCGGAGCTATGAGATCAGCACGCTGGCGGTGGAGGTGTGGCATATCCTGGAGTTCGACTACAGCCGACTGCCGCGCCAGAGCATCGGACAGTTTCATGAGGGCGACACATACGTGATAAAGTGGAAGTACATGGTCAGCACCGCAGGTTAGTATAATCTGTTTTAACACATGTATCTTCACTTTACTGAGGCTCTTACTTTCCAGCTATTATATGTGTTTATCTTTCCTTTAATGACTAGTGTTCTTTTTACTTTTAACCCCTTAAACTGTGCTGAGTCTACAGACATATGTTGTGCCACAGAAATTTATTTATGTTACAGCAGAGATCCCAATATGTCCGGTAGAATTTAGAAAATGTGCATAAAATGATACCAATATTACCTTTTGATACTTGCTCTCCTGTATAAAATCTTTGGTTTGGATGTGTCACTAAGATTAAACATCATACAGCTTTACTTATTTATAAGTAATATATCATATTTATCGACAGATTAAGCAGTAATGAAAAGAGTTACTAGGTGCAGCCGTAATAATATGCATAATTGTCATCTAGGAAAAAAAAATGTCAGAAATTAAAGAGGCAATTTGAGGTGCAAATTCACTGTTTACATGGTTAAATACATAGATGTGGGTAAACTGATTTCAGTAGGCCAAAACCATTACACATGTTTATTGTCCATTTCTCAGAACCATTAATGTGTTTCTAATAATCTCTTGCCATCAGTTGGGAGGAGACAGAACCCGGAGCAGCTGAAGACAACAGGAGCTGGGAGGGAGAAGTGCTGTTACTTCTTCTGGCAGGGCCGCAACTCCACCATCAGCGAGAAAGGAACATCGGCACTGATGACTGTGGAGCTGGACGAGGAGCGGGGAGCACAGGTACGTGAAAGATTGTGTGTCTGAGCAGAAAAAAACTTACTGTTACTGTGAATACAAGTCTGTTTTCTGTTGCGTAAGCTTCACTCCTCTCCTGTTTCATTTCACCTTCTTCCAGGTTCAGGTTCAGCAGGGTAAGGAGCCTCCATGTTTCCTGCAGTGCTTTAAAGGAGGGATGGTTGTCCATTCAGGGAAGAGAGAAGAGGAGGAAAACTCACAGAGTAAGCCCACATTACTGCTTTAAGATAGGCATTAGTCAACACAAACACACTGCTGCTTTTCCATCATTTTCTGTACAGGGTTAATGAGCAAACAGTCTCTTTAGAGGTCCATATTTAGTCATACTTTTCTAGAATGCTAGAAAATAAGTAGCAGTCATATAAATTCATTGTCTGCCCATAACGAGTGGTTCATATACAGTTGCAACCCAGAAAAGTTGAATATTGTGAAAAAGTTAGCTTTTCCCGTAATTTAAGTCAAAAAGTGAAACTTTCATATATTTTAGATTCATTACGCATGGCTTGCAGCTAACGGAAATCGAAAATCCATATCTCAAAATATTAGTATATTAGAATAAAGACTGTTTAATATAGAAATGTCAACCTTGAAAATGCTGAAAAAGTTGAAAAGTTGAAACAGTTCTGAAAAGGTTCATTTATACACTCACTACTTAGGGGCATGCCAAAAAATCGATACAGCAATATATCGTTATACTTTTTTCGACGATACTGTGATATTCCAGCCCATCATATATAATAGCGCTTTGACGGTTAGCTCAATGCTAACAGATAATAGGAATCTCTAATAATGTGCTAACAGAATTAGCATCGCGATAAAATAATCTTAACATAAACTACACATTTTGCTTCGCATGCTGAACAACATACTGTGCAAATACTTAAATGCACGTTTCCTGAGCTCTGTGTGAAATAAAAAAGAGCTGCTAACTTCACTGTCTTAATCTGCTACTCTGTTGCTTCAGCACTCAACACAGTCTAGCTACAGCAACCCGAAAGGGTCAAAACACAAACCAAAAATTCCCAGTGGCCTAAAAATACAGCTACCACTAGGTGAAGAAAGGGCAGCACAACGCTGTGTCACTGAACAGTTATACAATATAATGTGATGTACATATTAGATTTATGTGGTACAGCAGTTTGTATTTTCAGCAAAACAATTCAGTAAATTCAGTGAATTTGCTTTTTATAAAGAAATATTTTTATTATTTTTCATAGTTGCTCTATAGTTCATTATTTTTAATTAACAGACTGAAAAGTGTGTGCTGCAGAATTTTGGAACGGGAACAGTTTGGATTTGCAGCAAACAAACAGAGAAAACTTTACCATTTCAGACATTTTGCATTCATAGTTAGACAGATATCGTGATGTATCATTTTAGGATTGTCTAGCAATATATTGATTATCGCAGAATTGCCGTATCGAGATATTATCGGTATTGTGAGCCGTGTATCTTATTGTATCGTTAGATACCCTGTGGCTAGGGTATCCTAGGGTATACACGTTGGCATGGAGACAATGAGCCTGTGGCACTGCTGAGGTTTTATGGAAGCCCAGGTTGCTTTGATAGCGGCCTTCAGCTCATCTGTATTGTTGGGTCTGGGGTAATTTTCCTCTTGACAATACCCCATAGATTCTCTATGGGGTTTAGGTCATGTGAGTTGGCTGGTCAACCAAGCACAGTAACACCATGGTCAGCAAACCAGTTACAAGTGGTTTTGGGACTGTGGGCAGGTGCCAAGTCCTGCTGGAAAAGGAAATCACCATCACCATACAGCTTGTCAGCAGATGGAAACATGAAGTGCTCTAAAATCTCCTGGTAGACGCTGCATTGACTCTGGACTTGATAAAACACAGTAGACCAACACCAGCAGATGACATGGCACCCTACATTACTGCACACCAGACTTCAAGCAACTTGGATTCTGTGCCTCTCCACTCGTCCTCCAGACTGAGGGCCTTGATTTACCAAATTAAATGCAAAATTACTTTCATCTAAAAAGAGGACTTTGGACGTTGAGCTTGACTTTGGTCTGGTTCTTTTTCTCCTTAGCCAAGGTAAGACGCTTCTGACGTTGTAGCTCATTTTCTGGACCAGCTTCGATTCAGCTCTCTGTTAATAGTCAGCCCTTTCAGCAGTGACCTTCTGTGGCTTACCCTCCTTGTGGGAGGTGTCAATGAGTGTCTTCTAGACAACTGTCAAGTCAGAAGTCTTCCCCATGATTGTGGTTGTGTGCTGAACCAGACTGAGAGATTAAAGACTCTTCTCAGGTCGACATTTCTGACATTCTTTATTCTTATATTGTAATATTTTGAGATATGGATTTTTGATTTCCATAATATATAAGCCGTAATCATCAAGATTAAAACAAGGCCTGAAATTTTTCACTTTATGTGGAATAAACTCAAAATATATGAAAGTTTCACTTTTTGAATGAAATAAAAAAAAAAATCAAAAATATATTTAGTTAAGACGTTTTCTTCTTCTTTAGCCTAAAATGTAAACACTTTTCTTACTTGTTTGTCTACCCTCAAGTCTCGCTCTGCCCTGTTCCCTTCAGGTGACTGGCGTCTGTACTGTGTGCGGGGGGAGGTGGAGGTGGAGGGCCACCTGCTGGAGGTAGCCTGTCACTGCAGCAGCCTGCGCTCCAGGGTCTCAATGGTGCTGCTGAGCATTAGCCAGGCCCTCATCTACCTGTGGCATGGCTGCAAATCTCAGACACACACACGGGAGGTGGCGCTCACCGCCGCCAACAAAATCAAAGAACAGTAAGTGGAAACTTTATTTTCTCCCCTAAAAGTATTAAGTCAGCACAGGTCAAAGTGACACTAGAGCTGCAACTAGTAACGCTGTTTCATTTGACAACTACCAACAAATAAACAAAGCAGTTCCTGAAACCTCTATTGATCATCTTGAAAAATTGATTGAGATCAATCTGATTTCACACTGCTGTTATCATCAGTCAGTATATGACCCCTTTTGTCTTTGTGCAGTTGTCCTCTGGAAACGGGCCTCCACAGCAGTAGCAAGGTGACCATCCGAGAATGTGATGAAGGAGCAGAGCCCACAGCATTCTGGGAACCCCTTGGGAGGAGGGACAGGAAAGCGTATGACTGCATGCTGCAAGGTGGGGGAACCAAAGTGCATAAAATCTAACAACTTTTTAAAAAACGTATTTTTTACTGTAAACAGAGCTGTGGGTGGTGTCATTAACTAGTGTCCTTGGTTATGTGTGTTTTTTAACCTTTGATCCTCAGACCCAGGTAGGTTTAACTTCTCACCACGTCTGTACCAGCTGAGCAGCAGCTCAGGGGAGTTTGCAGCTGTGGAGTTTCTATACCCTGCCAGAGACCCCAAGCAGGTCAACTCTATGCCTTTCCTGCAGGAAGACCTTTATGCAGCATCCCAGCCAGGTACACATGTGAATTTGTCTTATTGTACATGTGATTATAATAATAGTAGATTATATTTATTGGGTCCTTTTATCAAGATGCTTTACACAGCAAAATATACCCAGCTGCCCCAGATTACATCCCTTAGATTTGGTTATTAAAGAACTGAGTAAAATATGAACTGAAAGGGACATTTTACTGTTAACTTTAAGTAAACTTGTCAGTGTACCTCTGTTTCTAAATGACCATAAACACATAGGCTTATATATCTGACCTGTCGGGCTGGGCTCTCATATACACTATATTGAGTATAATAATACTAAAGTAAGAGAAAACAACTCTCAGCCCTAAAGAATTAAGGAATTCTTAACTTTATGTAGCTATGTTCAGAAGGTAAAAGTTTAGAAAATCTATTTTTGAAAGATTTCCCAAAAGATTTTTTAAAATTGAAACTATTGCAGAGGTGGAGGGGGTTGCCTATTGGAAAGTGTGTGCAGCTAAGAATCACTGCTATATCAGGAGTACCACTCATTGTGGGTTGAGGGGGTTCCTTGCAGAACCAGAACCAGGCAGAACACATTATTGATGATGATGATGAATGCTGTGTGTGTTTATTATCCATTAACATGAGGTAACCATAAACTAGCTGTGTGAAGGTCTAAAAATGGTGTCCTTGTCCTATTTTCTTCCTCTGAATATCAGCCCTGTTCCTGGTGGACAACCACCATGAGGTTTATCTGTGGCAGGGCTGGTGGTCCCAAGACAGTGAAAGCACCGGCTCAGCCCGAATCCGGTGGGACTCGGACAGGAAGTGTGCCATGGAGACTGTGCTGCAGTACTGTAGAGGTATTCCAATTTCTTATTATTATTATTATTATTATTAGACACAATCAACACTTTCACCACTCTGTTACTGATTGATGTAACATTTCAGTTATTTCTTTTTGTTCTTCTATTTCTTGAAAATAATGAATATGAAGTGCAGTGTAAAACCACTACAGCAATGGAAAAAATAGGAAAACAGGGTTGTTCTTTAAAACCAATGATACGTTATTGTTTTGTTTCCACAGAAAAGAACGCAAAGAAGCCTCCCAAAGCTTATCTGATCCATGCTGGTCTGGAGCCACTCACCTTCACCAACATGTTTCCCAGCTGGGAGCACAGAGAGGACATCGCTGAGATCACTGAGAGGGTGTGTGGATAAAATCTTATTATCTGATCACTCCCAGTTACATCATCTGATATGAACCAGTATTGCACACAGTCTCTGTATGTATTACTGCATATACTGTAGTAGAACACATGCACACAAAAAACAATAAGAGACTTTCTTTTTGAATACTGGTCAGTCCAGGTAGCCATTATTCCTCATTGATTTTTCTAATTTAATTTCTTATCTACTATCCGGCTGTTTTTGCTATGAAAAGTGGTGTATTTTGTGTGTCTGTTTGTTCCCAGGAAGCAGAGGTGTGTAACCAGATTATCCTAGTGGAGGACGTGTTGGCCAGGCTGTGTAAGACCACATACGCCCTGGCAGATCTTCTGGCACGGCCTCTGCCAGAGGGTGTTGACCCTCTTCGCCTGGAGATATACCTGTCTGATGAGGACTTTGAGGTAAGAACCAGCAGGCTACAGATATGAAACATCTCAATAATTGTTTAATATCTTATTGCTGGTATACTAGAAAACATTTTCCATCTAATTTGACAGTGATATATTATTTTAAAGCTGCACTAGTCAATATTTTTATATTAACAATGGCTCAAATGACCATGTGAAAGGTGTCACTCATAGTGATGAACCTACTGAGAATTATCTAGTGTTTTCATGTGGTTAACTTTTTTTAGTTTTCCGCTCTCATTAACCATGTTTTTAGCCACAGCAGGGAGCTGTTTTCAGAGTGAAAGCTCTTTTAAACTCACTGTACGCTACCTGACCAGAACCAAGTTGGCAACTAGCTGTTGAACGTAGTGGGAGCATTTGCAGCTAAAGAGTCAGATACTTCTCTCAGGAGTTGGTTGTAGTTAAAAGAGCTAAAAGGAGAAAGGAGTGAATATTGGACCTACATTCATCAGGTGGCAAGTAATATGTCTCCAAATGAATGCTAATGTTGCTCTGTGTCTGCTGGATGTGTTTGGAAGTGTTTGCTAACACGTTAGCCATATTGCTACTTTAAACGTAAGGCCCATAATATGTCGAACATGCGTGTTCAGCTTGTTCTGCCCCCATGTGGTCAAAAACACATCAGTATTGTTTTAAAGTACAGTATGATATGCTGTATGTAGGTTATTTTTCTTATTGGTGACAAGTGAATAACTGGCTAATGTTTGGCTCTTACATCTCTGTAAGAGTGCCTGTGACACTTTCCATTCATTTTTAAAGAGTAAAAACAGTACATTTTCCTCAAATGGCTCAGTAGTTTACTAAAACAGCTGGCTACTGTAGTTTTTGGCAAACATTACACAAAGAGGAGGAAATAGTGCATTTTTGGGGGACTATTTTCAGCGGCGGATTAATCCCTCGTGCCACTGGTGCTGTAGTGAGTATTTCCAGCAGCAGATGGTGGATGTGGGATTGAGTCAAAATAAACTACAGCGTGTATGTATGTTTTATGTTATTGAAGGAACATGTCACCCAGTGCAACAATGTGGCACTGGGTGACTGGGGGTCATTGCTCTCTTCCTCTTTCTTTTCACAATCTTTTCTTTCAGCAGGTTCTGACATTTTCTCCACAGCTTGTCTTTTTGGGAACTCTACCATAATTAACTTTCTCTCCAGATCTACCTCATTTTCTCTCCGATAAAACATCTAACATTTGATTAGCTTGCTGATCCACTCACAGTCTACACGCTGTTGTGGACACTGTACTGAATCCTGGAGATATAAGCTCTTTGTCAACTTTAAAACAGATCGGATTTTACTGGGGATGTGAATTGAGGAATGGTGGCGATGTCCTTAAACTCAATGGTGCATGAGTATGTTCTCAGAGAGTTACTCAGTCCTCACCATGCAAGCTGCAGGATTTGTTAGTTTGAAATCTGAACAATCTGTTTGGTAAACGATCTGCTCCATGCTGATTGTGTGCATGGCTGCTTCCACAGAAAGCCCTGGAGATGACCAGAGAGGAGTATGGGGGTTTACCTGGCTGGAAGCAGGTGAACTTGAAGAAGGCCAAAGGTCTTTTCTAAATGGTTGAAGCGGAGAGCTGACCTGAAGACATCAGAAAAAAAGCCACCAGGAGTGTATTTTGTCTCCTCTTTTGTTTACATCTGGACACAAACAGAGGCTCAGGGGCTTCCTCTCCTGAGTTAACCCTGTAATGGTGGGTTGAGGTCGACAAAGGGAGGAATGAAGGTGTGGAAGAGGTGATCGATAAATGAGAGGTGTGCCAGCTTCTTGTGCTGTAAATTTCTCATCTTCTACTTTTTGAGTTGGTATTTTGGTTGTATATGTAGGAGACAAATGTATGTGGATGCACCACTGAGTGTGTGTGTTTATAGTTATTCTTTAAAGTCACACTCTGTTAATATTTGTACATATGTACCATATGCAGAACAGCCAGTTAACCCTTACATTGTCAGCCTTGCAACAATCTCCTATAGTGGGAGCAGGCCTGTCAGCCTGTTCAACACACTCCACATCAGAATCTGCTATTCTTATATGTATAATTTATATTTATATCAAATCCATATAGGAATTTAAAAAAAAGCCATATATAGTTACTGAGCTGAAAAATCTCACGATTGAATAAACTGTGCAATTCATGTTGAGGTGGTTTGTTTCATATGGTGATAACTCTCTCTTGCTGTACAGTTCACCATTTGCCATTTACAAATCAAATGATGCAGCTTTATTTAGATGTGTCTAGTGTCGCAGATAGAAGATGATGAAATGTATTTGATTTTTAAAACCTACATTGTATAGTGCCTTGCTTTCGTGTACAGTTTATATACAGATCCTAGTCTGCATTTGAAGACTTTTTGTGATATAAATAAATATTAGAGAATAAACCCTGAAAGTTGCGTTGCCACATTGTGTTGCCTTTTGTTCTCCTTACCTGACACACTGTTTAAAATGTTCTCCATGGCACTGTCAAGCTCAAGTACAAAATTGACTTTACTGATTAATACACTGTATTGTATACTATGGTTTAAATTCAGAGCATGAACTGCTGGATGTGACCATATCAATACTTTTTTAAAAATCATCCAGTAGAGGGCAGTATAATATTAATTTCTGTGAACTCAGGACAGGACTAGGACAGAAGCTCTTAAATACATTATCAATTATGACATTGATCTTAGAAAAAGTAAACAAATTATGTAAACAATATAAAACGTTTCTTTTTCTATGGTAAACGGTTGAAAATTGACTTAGTAGAACATGTAGTACCCAGAAGACATACTATAGCTGAGTGGTTCCCACCCTGGGAGTTGGTGCTGGAATCTAAATCTGAAAGCTCAGCATTGTCTTCTCTTGTTTTTGTCCTTTTCCTGTTGAAATGGAATTGGTGCTATCATTCATTTTATTATTTACACCTTAGTTTTTCCTACTGCCACATGTCAAAATGTTTTATGTAAAAAAATGCATGTAAAGCACAAAATGGTTAGATTTTTGGGAAGAAAAGAAAACCATTGAGGTTCATTGATCAAACATGTCAGTCAAACCCAAAATGCTTTTGTGTTTACTGTCTGTATAGTGAGAGAGCCTTGTGTCTTTAGCATCTAAAGTCCAATGGTTAAATACATTTACTCAAGTACTGTACTTAAGTACAAATCTGAGGTACTTGTACTTTACTGAGTATTTCCATCTCATGCTGCTTTATACCCATAAAAAAAGATACCCACTATAATTCAGAGGGAAATACTGTACTCCAGTACATTTATTTGACTACTACAAAGATTAGCTTATAAAAATACAAATTATTTATATATATAAGATTACAAAGATTTTTCATATAAAACATAAGACAAAAATATTATGCACTGTTAAAGATTAAACTACCAAACAGTATACAAAATGATTCAAATTGGCTCCATCCGACCAGCTTCGATGGTAAAATGCTAATTAAACATTTATACCGAAGCAGGATTAATCTAATAATTAAAGGGGCCTTTTTCTTTCTTTGAATACTTTTAATACTTTAGCCAATTATGCTTACATTTTCTTAAGCAACATTTTAATGCAATGAAGTATTTTTACAGTGTGGTATTGCCACTTTTACTTACTTCCCCACCACTGCTAAAAGCTATTGGACAAAGTTTTTTAACTTACAGCTGTCCTTTGCAAAAACTCAGGAGAAACCTGTATGCATTTCATGTTTTGTTTTTTTGATAACGTTATTTAAATGTAATTCAACCTGGCCTATTTTGTTGCTATTCCCTCTGTTGATAAGAAGGAATTCCATTACATATTAACAGTGGGGTGCAGAGCCTTACTTTGTTTTAGTATTTTTAAGGGGAGCATGACAGAAAAAGTTTGCGAACCACTGGTCCAGGCAGTTGGCCACTAACAAAGCCAAAGGAGGTGCTCAGTCCTGAAAAATACACAAGACTGACTGTTTATGCTGTGTAAATTACCAGTGACTTTGGAACATGAGGGCAGCCTTTTCTATGTAAAAAAAGTAAATGCATTGATACTGGTAATAATACTGAGAAAGTCACTATGTTTTCATATTAGTCTCTAATTAACACCCCGTTAAGTAACTCTGATCACCACTGTTTGTGCAGGGAAAACCTTTCTTTTTGTCTGTATTGCTCACACACCTATTACCTATTGAAGCCTCATACACACAGGTAAAAGCTACAATCAGCCATCCAACCTGTCAAACCTCACAGCCTCATTTTCCAGGCTATCCTCCAACTCTACACACACGCTGAAAGCCCTCAGATGTTCTCAATATCAAGCCGTTGCCTGTGTTGAGGAACAAGAGCAATTACAGAGGAATTTCATGCAATCACAGTAGAACAATATACACAGCAGGTTTCTGTTCATCCAACTGTTGCTCGAGTGTTGCTCAATAGCCTATTTTAACAGCCTTACTGACAGCCTGCCCTGAAACAGCAACAAGAGAAAGAAAATGCTGCTGCCTGTTCCAAAAAGGTTGGCAAGGCTCTGCGTGGTTTTCACTGTTTTTCATCCGCTCGCCCTCTCTTGCATGCTAAGTTGTTGAATACTGAGCCTGTGCTGGATTATTCTGTTACACATGCCTCCTCTGAACTCCTCTGGCCTGTGAGGAGTTTGATGTGCGACACGGTGCATATCCGCCCACCTGCTCCTCCACACCCACTCAGTGCAACATGTTCCAATAGCCCTCCAACCCTCTTCAGCCCTCCCCTCTCTGTCTCCAAGAAGACAGTGGGACGTACAGAATGTTGCCGTGCACACACAGTCAGGTGTGTGTAGTGTCTCTGAGCCCGTTTTGACTCTGAGCCCAGTTTCTGTGCTGAGCTCCAAACAGCTTTTCTTTTGATGAAATCCCTTTACAAGATGCAAACACATGAATGCAACCCACCATCACACACACACCTGTACAGTACAGTATGTAGATATACACACACAGAAGCTAGCAGTTATTCCTATGTATAGTAAATGTGCTGAAATCACTGCCAGAATAGAATGCAGGGTAAAGGTCAGTGATCAGGATTACAAAGAAAACTTGAAAAACATATCTTTGTAATGTATCTTTAGGAAGTAAGCTACACTTACTACTGTAAAGAGAACATATATATGAAAGACATAAGGGTATGCTGGGTCAGCTGCCAGTTTTTAATATGTGGCGGGTGGTGACAGAGCTGACGGGACAAAACAATGGACAGACATGAAGTAGAAGAAGATTCCTGAGGGAAAAGACAATTTCACGTGTACTACCTTACATAACTTAACATGACATTAGCTTCATTGAGTGTGGTGATAAAAGTTTAGCATGTTTATCCTTGATTGAGTTGCGGCCTAAAGGCGTTGAGATAGCACCACTGATTATTCTACAGAGAGGGGTAGGCTCAATCAAACTCTCTAATGAATCTCACAAGCTAATCACACTAACAACAGGGAATACTAAGCAATATACAGACACTGATAACAATCATTTCTACAATTATACAGTACAAGAGACTGTAAGAGTAACTGGTTTGCACTCAGCAGGCTCATATTTCCAGACCTATGGGTTAGCAAGAGCAGAAACAGGACTGCAGCATAGATAGTAAACAGGCCTAAATATTAAACTGTATTACAAAGGCACACTTCACCAACCAAACTATGATATTTAGCACATATGTCATTATGCACATGAACACAATTAAAGTCCACACAGGATTAGAAGCAGGGTAGCTGATGTACCCATTCTGACACGTTTCAGCTCTTATTTTGAAGGGCTAATTGGGGGAAGGTGAATTCACATAGAAGCGATACCCCTGACAGGGTGACTACAATTGTGGATCATAGTCCCCACTCCTGGTAACCCAGTGTCACTATTGTTTATAGACAAATACAAAGCGATCAGCAAATACACTGTGATCCTCAGACACAAATTTGACGTTGCATTGCACTGAATTTGTATGCATGTCTTTAAACAGTGGTTTTAAAATACCATAATAAAAAAGTTTGACTGTGTTGGTTCGCAAATTTGGAAGAGTGCAGTTTACAAATTGAAATTTGTAAAACAGCGTAACAGTAGTGTCAAAATTATGAAAACAAATGCAAAAAATCTACAGATAGAATACGACCCTTACACACAGACATATCATATTGCACTGATTCAAATTCTGGTTTTCAAATAAAAGTCACTGGTTTCTATTTGTTGATCATGTTTTATATTTGTAGATCATGAAGAGTTTGTTTGTGGATTTTGAATCTATTTGTAAATTGTGTTTTGTGTTTACAAATTGATAAACATATTTATGCGACATCAATTGGGGGGAAATTTTTATGTTGCCATTAGTTGTGGAAAGTAATCAAGAATGTTTGTTTAAGTGCTAAAGGATCAATTCACCCAAATAAAAAAAAATTATATTTAATATTTCCCCAGATTTTGAGATTTCTGCCTCAATCTCAGTACAGTTTATCATTTATTGCGAGGACCCTATTGGAACTGAAAGAATTCTTTAGTTTTTGTTTTTTTTTAAATTCTGCAAATTAATCGTATATTTGGGGGCCTAAACATGCTCGAAAACTCACCAAAACCTTTGCGCATGTCAAGAGGGAGGAAAAATTATGTGTTTTATGGGTCTTGCGCATGCACGTCGTGAAAAGGCTGCATGCACCCCTGGCCAAAGTTAAACCTATGTGTACAAAATTTCTGTGGTACGTGTATCATGTCCAGACATACAAAAAAGCCTCTTGGAGCAACACCCTAAACTCCACAGGAAGTTGGCCATTTTGAATTTTATGGAATTAGTCTTACCAACTTAAAATTCATGCTATGTAGTCTAATCCCATGATGATTAAAAGTTAGTTGCCATGAAACAGGAAGTTGTTATAACTTCAGTGTACATGCTCACATCTGCTATAACCTTTACATGTAAATCTTTTGAGTTTTCCTTCAACGACGTGGCATAGTGTTGATGCTTCACTGTGAAACAGGAAGTCGCCGTCACTTCACTATACACGGTAACGTATAGTTACTGGGTGCTCTGTAGCGCCACCTAGGGGACACAGGAAGGGATGTTTCCTGCAGTGTCCATAGCGCATGGCAAACTCAGTGCCGCACTGACAGAGCTACAGAACCTGCGTCGTGACTGCGTTAGTACTGCTCACATCATTGAGTACATACAAGTACATTTTTAAAACAAACAATTTCTTCTAGAAAACACACTGTCACGAGTTTTCAAAGGGACTATTTCTTCGGTAGAAAATATTTCCATTTTGTCATCAATTTCTTGTTAGATAGGAAATTTCATTACTTGGTTCAAATAATGAAAATCCCCTTGTTAACTTTTATGTGTCATTTGAAGCATGGTAAAACATTCATGCAGTTAATCTCAGGATTTACTGGCACATTTAGTAAAATTTGCAGAATAGAGCAACCACCAA